GTGGGGGGCCCTCCACTCCACCCCGCGGGCAGCATTTAGGGGCTGAAGGGCAACCCAGCCCGGAGCTCCAGGGGGTCCTGTTCTGGGATTGGGGTGTTAATGTGGGTGGTTCAGCAGGGCAGGGCTTCTCAGGGGGAGCCTGGCCTTCGTAATGGGTGGGGTCAAGGGTTGCAGGGGAAACTTGGGATGCCCCAGCTCTTACAGTGCACTTTAGGGTGTCCTGTGGGACAGAAGAATGGTGGGAGAAAGTAAAAGTGAATTTGGGAAACGAAGACCAGGCAGGGCAGTAGCAGAGGAGCTGGCTGCCCTTCACATCAGGGACACCTCCTGATGGAGTTCCCTCCTGTTTCCCCCCCACACCTGACCCTGACTACCCTCTCTGTCCCACCAGGAAGACAGCCGCTCTGCCTGGCCAGGGATGGGGCCCTAGCTTGGGGCTGGGGGGTCGGGGTCCTGCTCCTCTGGAGGGACACAGGGAGGGGCCCAGAAGCTCCACCCCCATGTCCCAGCCGACTTCCCCCACATCCTGGCACCCATCTGTGGGTCCTGGGTGAGCCTGGCTCTCTCCCTGCAGACGGCCCTCAGCGCCTTCTTCCAGGAGACGAACATCCCCTACAGCCACCACCAGATGGTAAGGGGCGGGCGCGGGCGTGGGGAGGTGCGCTCACTGGGCAGAGCCTCTGCCAGTGGCCGGCGGTGTGGGGCCATTTGGCCTGGGCGAGGCAAGCTGGCACCAGGGTACTCACCTCCCCTCTTCCTCCCCCACAGATGTGCACTCCTGCCAACACCCCTGCCACACCCCCCAACTTCCCTGACGCCCTCACCATGTTCTCACGACTCAAGGCCTCCGAGACCTTCCACGGAGGCGCAGCGGGCAGCCCCATGGCGGCCACCGCCACATCACCACCACCTCACTTCCCCCACACCGCCAGCTGGCCCGCTGCCGCCTCGCCCCCCGGGGGCCCACAGCACCAAGCGCCACAGCAGCCGCCCCTGTGGACTCCGGCTCCCCCCTCCCCGGCGTCAGACTGGTCGCCCCTGGCCCCCCCACAGGCCGCATCAGAAACCAGGGCCCACCCTGCCATGGAAGCCGAGAGATAAGGGCGGCCCCTCCCCCCTCCCGGAGCCCAGAACCCCGTGGGGCGGGGGAGAGGACGTCTCCGTGGGCCCCCTCACCCTCCGTCTGCACCCCGGGCCCCGGAGCCCCTGCTGGCGCGGTGGAGGGTGCCACGGACAGAAGCCAGAGACCAGGTGGCCTTCCCAGAAGACCCGCCTGCCGGCCTCGAGCCCCCGGCCTGGGGACACTCACCAGCCTGGCTGCCCGGCCGCCTGGCAGCCTCCTGTCGGGGGCTCCTTGGGGCCAGGGGCCGTGCTCCCCACCCCGGGCATGCAGCGCCTTCTCCGCATGCGTGCGTGTCGCGGTGTCGGTGTATTTATGTGTGTGTCGCTCTTCCAGAAGCATCCCCGTGTCGGGGCAGCTGGACTTTGCATGTTCGAGTGTGCCCCCACCCCCGACTGTTACCCTCCCAGCCCCTGCCGGGGCCCTGCTCCCCCTCATTGCCCGCTTTGCTGGTCCCTGCAGAGAAAAGGATTGTGGGAAACTCTAGGACTCTTCCCACCGGTCCCCCGGTGCTGCCTGCCGGCTGCCTGCATGCCTCCTGCTCCCCCAGGGCCCTGCCCCGCCCTAACAAAGGAAAGCAAGTTCCCACCACCTCGGCTCTGTGGTCTTGCCTCAGTCCTGGGCTCTGGGGCCAGCTGGTTCCTGTGGAGGGTGGTGCCCCGCTCCAGAACACTGGCCTCTCACTCCCCCACCCTGAGAAGCTCAATTCTGGCCTGTTCCAGAATCCCTGTCTCCACTGCCCGGCCTGCACCTGCCTGGGAGGCGTCCAGCAGCCCCGAAGTCTTCCTGTCTCTGACACCCTGAAGCCTCTGGGACCCCCCCCCTTCAGCCCACCCTGGGGTCCCTGCGGAGCAGGTGGCCAGGGCACAGTAGCTGCTGCGAGCTGAGCACCCCGGATGGGGGCTGCCCGCATAGCCTGTCTGCATGGCCATCTGAGGCCTGCACAGCTCTGCTGGGACACGTTCCTGCAACGGCTGCTTGTCACAGGCCTTGAGCTTTACTGTGTCCCAGGGATGTGTCCTGAAGTCCAAGTGGACTCCAGTTGGAGGGGTCTCCAGGGTCTGTGTCACAGAGACTGGGGAAAGAGTTTCCAGGAAAGTCCTGAGCAGACACCAGTGTTCTGTGGGCCCTCCAGAGGCGGGCCGCGGGTGCACCAGAACCCACTTCCAGCAGGAGTAGATGCCCTTCAGGGATGACCCTGGAACCCCGCCCCCAGCACAGATTCCGGGGCTCAGTCCCTGTGAAGATGGTGGGGGCCCAGTGACGGGTTCCAGGGTCCACAACCGCAGGCTACAGCCCGCTGATGGGAAGTGACACCTGTTCCCCCCGCCCCCCTTTGGCACCCCACAACATGCCTGTTGGGGCTGGGGAACATCCTGTGAGCTGGGAGGGCCTGGTGCAGACCTGAGCATCCCTGGCCTCTGGTAGGGCCTGGGAAACGCGGCTTTTGCTCTCCCAAATTCCCAGGAAGCAGCTGCCATGACAGCCTGTCCTGTGGGGGCTGCTCCAAGGGGCTGATGGACACCCGTGTAAGGCTGCCATGGAATGACAGCCTGGCACAGGAGCCTGCTCTCCCCTCCTGTGTGCCCATCCAGGGAAGAGGCTGTGTGAACACCCTGTGCACAGCACCCCACGGGGTAATGGCATGGAGAGGGACAGGGAAGGCTGCGTGTCCTGGGTGGGGCCAAAGTCAGCCCATGATTTTATTCTGAGGAGACATTGCCAGATCTTCCTGTCGTGGGATCAGAAGAGCCAGGTGTCACTGGGGCAACGTCCTGAATAAGGGTGAAGGGGACATGGAGACAGGGCACCCCGCACAGCTGCCCAGTGACCCCTACTCTTCCGACCAAAGCCTCTGGATAGTGGAGGCTCAAGCCCCAAAACCACATTGAAGGAAACTGTAAGTGAGCACTGAGGTCTGGAGGTGATGGGAGCAAGAGCACTGTGCTCTGCAGCCCCAAGACCCCCGCCCTCTCCTGCCCTGGTCCCCCACGGGAAAACGCAGAGGGGTCCTGGGGACTTGTCCAAGTTACCCTCAGGATTGCCAAGGAGCACTATAAATAAGTAGAAGGGCCAGGGAGGTACTGAGGGCTTTGCTTCACGGGCAGGCATGAGTGGTGCCCAGAGCACGGCCAGGCTGGTCCCCAATCCCCCCCAAAAATAAACCCAAGTTGAAAATGACCCCTTTGGTCCCGGAAATTACTAGTGCCTTGAGCTGCGGTGGATGGAAGAGGGTCTGGTGAGAGCAGGTGAGCAGGGGGCCCCCGAGGCTGGGCGGGAAGGGGGCATGCAGCTCACCGTGTGTCCAGCCCGGCAGCCTGAATGGTGGGTGGGAGATTCGGAGGCCAGACTCCTGGGGTGCTGGCGAGCCCTTGCGCTGGCTGGGGGCCCTGCAGGGGCGATGTCAGCAGCAGCATCGGCAGAGATGGGGGCCAGGCTGGGGTCATCGGTTGGGGGTCGGGGGTGTGCGCATTAAGCTGGGGGGCAGGGCTGGCGCATGTAATGTCTTGAGAACACGAGAGACCCTGGGACGGGAAGTGTTTCCCCAGACACGGGGTGCGCCTGGCCACAGCCCCCGGGAAGTTCCCGAGGACGCAGGGCTGCTTGTGTGGGGTCCGGCTCTCGTCCCCTCAGGCCACCGCACTCTCGAGCATGTTGTGGAGAGCCTCCTGACAGGCACATGGCAGGACGTGGCGGGGCCTCCGCAGAGCACCCCCAGGATGGACACACGGCACCATGAATGGGAGGTCTGCGAGCTTGGTGCCCCTGGTCCAGCCCTTTCCCATGTTGGTTCGGAGAGCCACGATGGAACTGGGGGCAGGGCAGGGGCCAGGCAAGGGGCTTTCTGAGGCCCTGGCACTGACTGGCAGAGCAGGTGGGAGATGGGTGCGGTGGCAGGAGACCAGCAGCTGGAATGGGGCGGCAGGGGCTCTGCGGGGAGCCCGGGTACTCACTGGGGTACAGGACACCAAAAGGGCTCTGGCGCCCACGGTCATCCAGGCCTCGAGGTGGGGGGTGCGGGATCTTCACGGCTGAGCAGTGTCAACGGGGAGAGAGCAAGGTGGAGCTCTTCCCCTGGCCCCCCACCCTGCCCTTCACCCCTTCCCCACAAGGAATTGCTCCCCCAAGCCGACTGCAATGCCTGGGGAGCAGAGAGGCTCCCTGGGGAACAGCCTGGGCCCCCTTCATTTTAGGAGCGCGGGGATTTTCAGGAGTCCCCCGGTGATGGGGGCTGCACAGGCCCGAGCAAACAGAATGACCCTTTGCAGGGAACTGCCGAGAGGCATCTACGCACAAGGATGAGGGTCACTCCCTCACTCCAGTTCTAGAACATATTAGCGCCCCAAAACAAAACCCCACAGCGCCTCCTCCGCAAATCTGCTTCTCCCGGGGATTCGCCTGTCCCTGGCATTTCCTAGCAACGGAGCAGACGCCGCCAGCTCGCCAGGTGCCCCCTGCCCCCTCCTCCCTGTTGGGCCAAGAATTCCTGAGACGAGGCCCCGTACCAGAAGCCGCGGCAGAACACAGGGTGGAAGGGGCGGGGGGACTCTGCCCCGCGCCCGCAGGGCCCGAGGGTCCCGGCTGAAAGCGCGCCCGGCGGTTCAGGGCTCCGGAAACCCCGCCCCACGCCTCCATTTGCCTCTGGAGCTCGAGGCTCCCTTTCCTCCCCTAGGGAGGGAAAACTGGCTTGGTCTCCCCTGCCCGCCCGTCTCTGGGCCCCCCGCCCCTGCCGCCGCACTGTGCCCAGGGTCGGGTGTGCGCCGCCCATCTGCAGCTCCAGTGCAGGCACCTGGGGGTGCACATGGATAGGGGCTGACGAGGGACTCGGGGCAGTGCCTGGGCGGGCCGGCCTTGCCTCGGGCTCGCAGCTGTCCACAGCCTAGACCCTGAGTGCGTCTGAGATGAGGATGTCCTCGGAGTCAAGACGGGAGCCTGAGGTGCGGCCTGAGAGCGCCCATCACGCACACACCGCGGCAGGGTGCGAGGGAAGTCCCTCCCACAGTTGCCCACCTGCCCAAGAGGCTGGTCTCCCAGAAGGTCCTGGGGTGAGGCATGCAGGTGGGACAGGAAACTGAAGCCCTGTTAAGGTCCCTTCCCGGAAGGACGCTGAAGCCTGGGCGGCCCCGCCCGCAGCCCCATCCTGCCGGTCCCGCCCCCCCGCAGCCCCATCCTGCCGGCCACGCCCACATCTCTATGCAAGCCCCGTCCACAGCGCCATCCTGCCGGCCCCCCAGCCCCTGACGATAGGCCCCGCCCACAGCCCCATCCTGCCGGTCCCGCCCCCCCAGCCCCATCCTGAAGGCCACGCCCACATCTCTATGCAAGCCCCGCCCGCAGCCCCATCCTGCCGGTCCCGCCCCCCCCGCAGCCCCATCCTACAGGCCACGCCCACATCTCTATGCAAGCCCCGCCCACAGCCCCATCCTGCCGGCCCCCCAGCCCCTGACGATAGGCCCCGCCCACAGCCCCATCCTGCCGGTCCCGCCCCCCGCAGCCCCATCCTGAAGGCCACGCCCACATCTCTATATGCAGGCCCCGCCCACAGCCCCATCCTGCAGTTCCCACCCGCCCAGCCCCATCCTGCCGGCCACGCCCACATCTCTATATGCAGGCCCCGCCCACTGCCCTATCCTGCCGGCCCCCCGCCCCTGCCGATAGGCCCCGCCCACAGCCCCTGGATGACGGCCCGCTCACAGTGCCCCTCCGGTCTGCACGGCCCCACCCACAGCGTCCCCCCCCACCCTGCACGGCCCCACCCACAGCGTCCCCCCCCACCCTGCACGGCCCCACCCACAGCGTCCCCCCACCACCCTGCACGGCCCCACCCACAGCGTCCCCCCCCACCCTGCACGGCCCCACCCACAGCGTCCCCCCACCACCCTGCATGGCCCTACCCACACGGCCCCGCCTACAGGTCCCTCCCTGTTGCATGGCCCCGCCCACAGGTCCCAGCCGGCAGGCCCCGCCCTCACGGCCCCCTCCCCAGCCCTCCTGACCGCGCAGGGTGGTGGCCGCCGCAGCAATGGAGAAAGGGGTTTTGCACAAGCCCTTGACTAAGCCAAGTGGGAGGAGGGACACCACAGGTAGGATAAAGGCCCCCCCGAGCTTGGGCCGACCCTAAGCGGCCATGGGTCACCCCACGCAGAGGCTAGTCCTTCCCCGCGGCTGATCTTTGGTTCTCAGGCCTCCCTTGGCCAGCAGCCCAGCCCTCCTGCTGCCTAGGCCATTCTCTGGGTCCCCGCTGTCCCCACGGGGGTTCCATTACACCCAGCCCCCGCTGTCCTTCCGGTCATCACCCAGCCCGCTAGTCTGGGCAGCCCAGCCCCATGCAGAGGGAGGGTCGCCCAGATGGTGGTGCCAACACGCTCTCACCGTGTCAGCTGCCCAGCAGAGCCAGGACTGCCACCAGGTGGCTCCCCAAGGTCTGCAACCCTCACCTGCCAGGTCTTTCTCCCCGTCAGCCATGGGGGGCAGCTCCTGACTGGCCATGCGGCCTTTGTACAGGACACCGTCCACTCCCAGGATGTCCACCTGGGCCTGTCAGAGGACCCAGCTCAGAGGGTTGCCAGAACTGGCCCCTTGGCCCCGGCCCCCGCCAAAGCCGCTCTTACCCTGTCATAGTCCATGACGCTGGGATCCCCGTAGGGGTAGATGGACAGCAGGGGCCCGGCGTGACTCTCAGGGCTGTTAGCCCAGTGCTGGGGGGTGCTCAGGGTGGCATCCTCACAGGTCCCCACGTCCTGCAGCTGTTCCCTGGGGCAGGCTGGAGTCAGTCACTGCAGGAGCCTCATCACGGCCCGGGGATGCAGGGACAGAAGCGACCCCCACAGGCCCCCCAGTCCCCGCCACCCCCCAGGCCCATGCCAGCACTCAGCCTCGAGTCTCCAGTAGGCAGGGTGGGGGGCTGGGGGCTCTGGGGGCTGTGGCTTCTGCTCAGCCATACACCCCACCACGCGGGTGTCAAGAGTCGAGGGGTGCTGAAAACCAGGGGTGTCTTCTGTTTGGTTTTTGGTTTGGTTTTGGCTCTTTGGGTCACACCCAGTGATGCTCAGGGGTGACTCCTGGCTCTGCATTCAGAAATTACCCCTGGTGGTGCTTGGGGGATACTATGGGATGCCGGGGATTGAATCCCGGCCGGCCACATGCAAGGCAAACCCCCTCCCCACTGTGTAGCGCTCTGGCTCCCAAGGGTGTCTGGGAACATGGGTGGCAGCTCTCTGAGCTGTCGAGGGAGGGGAGGGCTCCAGCGCAGGCTTCTGGGGGCCCTGGCATGTCTCCGGGGAGGGGATCGGGTAACCCCCCATCCTGGGGGTGCCGCCCCGGCAGCCTCTCTGGCTTCCTCCCCTCCCTGGCTGCAGCTCCCACGCAGTGCCCCCTGGGGGGCCTTCCTCACCTCATCTGCTGCTGCTGCAGAAACTCAGAGCTGTTGGCGCTGACCGGTTGCAGCATGGACAGCAGCTGGGCTTTTCGGACAGTGAGGAGATGCCTATTCGGGGACAGGTGCTAGGTGTGGCCCCCCCAGCTCCTCCAGGAAGCCCTCCAGCTCGTCTCTCCAGCAAGCTCACTTTGCTGGCCCACCTTCTCGGCTCTTGGGGCCCTCCAGCCCCCACAGGCCATAAGCAAGGATTGGAGAGGCTGGCCCAGGGGGAGGTCAGGGGTTCCTTCTGGGGGACGGGGTCAGTGGGAAGGCCGCAGGGACCCTGTGTAATGCGCCCTGCCCTGCCAATGACTGCACCCCCAGAAAGGAGAAGCTGTTCCCAGCCGCCCACGTGACACAGGCCATGTGTGTCTGTGGCAGCTTTGGAACACTGTCTGTCTCAGAAGGTTCGAGTTCATGGAGTGGGATCCATATTGGCCAAGGGTGTCTCTGTGTCTACAGCTCATTGACCACTTCCAGGCAGCTTCCTTTTCCTTTGTTTGGTTTGGCTGGTTGGTTTTGGGGCCGTACCTGATGGTTACCAGGGCTTACTCCTGTCTCTGTGCTAAGGGATCACTCCTGGCCGACTCACAAAGGGTGCCAGGGACAAGCCCAGGTCAGCCACATGTAAAGCAAGTGCCCTCCCACTACTGTCACACAGGCCGCATCTTTCTCTGGGGTGGCCTTTGGACCGCAGGCAGTGGTACCCAGGGATCACTCCTGGCACCGCACAGGGGACCATAAGTGACGCCTTTGAATCAAACCGTGGTCAACCTCATGTAAAGCAGCATCTCGGAGTTCCTTTTATAGATGAAGTATTTGTTATGTTTATGTAGTTTGATATCTCAAACTACATATCTCCATTTGGTTTTAATTTATCATACATTTTTGATATTGATAAATATATTTAACAGACAGGGATACAGACAGACAGGCAAGCATACAGAGAGGGAGGCAGACATACAGACAGGCTCTCTTTCTCTCCCCTGTCATCTAAGTTTCCACAAGAACTAGTTTGTTTCAGAGGCTAGAGACAGTTCAGGGTGCTGGCTTTGCACATGGCCATCCAGGTTTGTTCCCGGACATCCCATACGGTCCCCTGAGCCCTGCCAAGAGTGATCCCTGAGCGCAGAGTCAGGAGTCAGCCCTGAGCATTGCCAGATGTGGTCCCCTCCCCGCAAAAAAGCAAAAGACAAAACTATCTTGCGTCACTAACATTAGTTAGTTCAAATACTGTGAGGGCTGGGAGTGAGCCTGGTGGGAAAGTGCTTGCCCTTCACACAGACTTGGCTTCAGTCCGCGTTGCTAGAAAGTCCAAACAGCAACCGGACAGACAGGCTGGTGGGAGACTTGCCCACCCAGGGCAGGGGACCAGACCCACCGATGTGCCATTACATGGGGGTGCTGGGACCCCCACCCCACGCACAGCAAGGGAGAGCAAGAGGGCGGGAGGCAGGGTGCCCTGGTATGCTGGTCACTCACGGGCTGGTCATCATGTCCAAGGACCGGTCACAGGAGAGGCACTGCACTTGCTCAAAGAGTTTCCTGAAAGACAGGAGATGTCGGCTGGGACCCGCTGTGGGTGAGCTGGCCCAGGCCCAGTGCTTGGGGTTGTACTTCTTTCTGATTTATTTTTCTGTTTTGGGGCCTCAGCTGGCAACACTCCTGGCCCTTTACTCAGGAACCACACCTGGCAGTGCTGGGGGGCTGTATAGGGTTCTGGGTATTGAACCCACCCATGTCGACCTCATGCTGTACTATCAGGGGGTTGGTGGTGGGGCTGGACTTCTGCCTGTGCCCCCAGGCCAGGCCCAACCCCATCCCCCACAGCCACTGACATCCCAGGGGGGCAGAAATGGGGTGAGAATGTGTTACCTACTTCCTAGCCCCAAACACAACCTGGTCTTGAAAGCGGTGCTTTCTGGGGAGCTGCTCCAGGTGTGTGTTTGGGGGTGGGGGAAGTGGGCTTGCCCCGGGCACTGTCTGGGCAGGCCAGGGTGTGACAACCACCAGATGTGCCCAGGTTCCCAGAGTCAGCTGTGCCCAGCTCCATGAGTGCAGGTGCTCAGAGCTCATGTCTCTGCGGGGCCTGGTCCCCTCCCAGGGCACAGGCCAAGAGAGCAGGGGGCAGGGGGACCCACCTCCTGAAGCCGGCCGCGTTGTCGGGGTCAAAGTGGAAGACTTCGGCCATCACCTTCCTGAGGGTCTGCCGGATCTTGTTCAGGTCTGCCTTCAGCTCGGCTAGGTCGCTGCGAACCAGCTGCCCGGGAAGGGCGGAGGAGGCCAGGTCACCTGCCCGCTCTGCTCCCCCAGCCCGAGGTAATGGGGCCCCTCAGAGACTCAAACAGCATCGGGAACCAGTAATCTGGGACGCGGCTGGGCACCCCTGCTGGAGGGAAGGGGAAGGGGGAAGGGGGCAGAGGGCCCTTCCCTCCACTCCACTGCCGTGACGTGAGTGCCTGGCCCTCTGAACCACGGCCCAGACCCGCCCATGGCAAAGGTTTGGAGGAATCCACCTGCAGCTCTTCAGCTCTTCGTGGAGAGCAGGACTGGTGCGGTCTGGGTTTGGAAACGTTTTCGTTTTGTTTGGGGGCCAGATCTGGCAATGCTCAGGGTTACTCCTGGCTCTGCACTTAGGGATCGATCACTCCCGGAGGGGCTTGGAGAACCATATGGGATGCCGGGGATCAAACTTGGGCTGGCCGCATGCAGGGTAAGTGCCCTACCCAGGGTACTAGAACTCTGCACCCAGTTTTTTAATTTTCAGTTTTGGGCCACACCTGGAGGTGCTCAGGGGTTATTACTAGCCAGTGCTCAGGAGTGACCCTGGCTGGGTGCTAGAGATGGATGTGGGGTCATTACATACAAGCAAGCCCCTTAATCCCTGTTCTCTCTCCACCTTATTTTTTGATTTTTAATTTTGGGGGCCATGCCAGGCAATACTCAGGGGTTACTCCTGGTTGTGCTCAGGGGACTATATAGGGTGCCGGGGACTGAACTCAGGTCAAACCCACTTTACAACCCTTCCAGCCCTATTTTAAAACACTGTAGTGTATATATAGTTAACTTTTATGCTGTTTTTTGGGGGGAGCCACACCCAGCGGTGCTCATGGCTTACTTCTGGCTCTGTGCTCAGGGATCACTCATGGCGGGCTTGGGGGACCATGTGTGCTGCCAAGAATCGAACCTAAGCCAGGCTGTGTGCAAGCCAAGCACCCTATCCTCTGGATTACCACTCTGGCCCATAACTTTTTCTTTCTTTTTTGGGTCACACGCAGCGATGCTCAGGGCTTACTCCCAGCTCTGCACTCAGGAATTACTCCTAGTGGTGCTTGGCTGCCAGGAATCGAACCCAGGTCGGCCTTATGCAAGGCAAACGCCCTACCACTCTACTATTACTCCGGCCCCCACTATTTTTGCTTTTGATGTACAGAATATCAGCCACCACCAAAGACCCGCTGCCTCTAATCTGCCTGTCTTCCCTACCCACGCCCACCGCAAGTTTTGAGTTTCTGGCCCTTTCCTTCCCAGGGCCTGGACTTGGTCCCGACACTCCATTTCCACTGAACAGAACCAAGGTGTGAGTGAGCAGCCAGATGGCACCTGTGAGGCTGCAATGGCACTGCCCCCAGGAATGGACAGTGCCCACAGGACTCCGACACAGAGCACAGGGCGAGCAGGAACACACAGGAGCCCGCCAGGAGGCCACTGCACAGGGCAATTTCCTCACCCGCACACAGATCATTCATTCATTCATTCATCATCCTGTTATTCGTCGATTGCCTCGAGCAGGCCCCAGTAAAGTCTCTTTCATCCTAGCCCTGAGATTATATTCAAGGCTCTTTAGGAGAATGAGACCCATCATTGTTACTGGTATTTGGCATATTTGGTGCGCCACGGGGAGTTTGCCAGACTCTGCCCTGTGGGCAGGCTATAGGCACACAGATCATTACGGCATATATGGGAGGGAAGAATTTTGATTTTGTGTTTGTACCAGAGCTACCAAGAGTATCCTGCCTGCACAGCAGAGCCTGGCAAGCTCCTCATGGCGTATTCGATATGCCAAAAACAGTAACAACAAGTCTCACAATGGAGGTGTTACTGGTGCCCGTTCGAGCAAATCGATGAAGAATAGGAGGACAGTGCTACAGTGACGTGCTTTTGTAGCATACCTGGATGTGCCTCGGGCCTACTGCTGACAAGGCACAGGGGCCCTCTGGGACGCTGGGGACCAAACCCAGGCTCAGCCGTGTGCAAGGTACGCGCCCTCCCCGCTGTAGTATCTGTGGCCCGTTCCCAGCTCCGTGCCCCTCGGAAATGGTGACTGTTGGCTGCTTTAAGCTGCTGCCTTTGGGGGCCACTGGCAATGTGGAGGCGGTGATGGTGAAGTGTGGGCTTAGCAGAGAGTCACTGGGGCAGATATGCCTGGTAGGTGATGACTGGGGAGGGTGGGCTCAGTAAAGATCATGACCGTGTGGAATATAAAATGAGATGGACGCCCAAGGACAGTAGACGCAAGGGCCAGGAAGACTGCCCCATAGTTGGAAGCCTGTCTCATGAGCAGGGGGAGAAGGCAGCTGGGATGGAGAAGGGGTCACTGAGTCAATGATGGTTGGAGGGATCGCTCGGGATGGGAGATGTGTGCTGAAAGTAGAGAAAGGACCAAACGTGATGGCCTCTCAGTATCTATATTGCAAACCATAATGCCTAAAAGTAGAGAGAGTATGGGGGAAATTGTCTACCATGGAGGCAGGGGGAGGGCTGGAAAGGTGGGAGGGATACAGGGGACATTGGCAGGGGGGAATGTGCCCTGGTGGAGGGATGGGTGTTTGATCACTGTATGACTGAAACTCAAACATGCAAGCTTGTAGCCGTATCTAACGGTGATTCAATAAAAAAAAAATAAAATAAAAAAGATAATGACCACGGAGGCAGGTTCAGGGAGGCAGTGGCGGGGGGGGGGGGGGGCTCAGGGAGGTGGTGCCCGTGGGGGGCGGGCTCAGGGAGGCGGTGTCCGAGAGGACCGCTCACCTTGGTGCCCAGCTCCCTGCTCAGCTGCTCCACGCTCTTCTTCCAGTTGTCCTCGTGGGCCATGACCCGGAGAAGCAAGCTCTGAACTAGCTCGTTCACCTCCGACGACAGGGTCTTTAGTTCGGCGCGGTTGGCCTTGGTGGCCAGAGTGCCCCGGTCGGCTTTCTGGAGGAGGTGGGGGGGCAGGACTGCAATGGGCAGCACGTTCTTGGGGGCGTTTGTTTTCAGTTGTTGCTCGAGACCCCAGACACGGGGAGCAGAGTCCACCCACCCCTGGACAGCCGTGACGGGGCCTCCTGCCCGCGGGTGGGGGCGCTGGGCAGGGGCTTGGCTCACCCCCCCTTTGGCAGCTGTGATGGGGTTCCTGCCCGCGGGTGGGGGCGCTGGGCCGGGGCTCGGCCACCCACCTCTTTCAGCTCCTTCTCCACCAGGCTTTTGTCAGCCTTTTCCGTTTCCAGATTTTTGATATGAGTCCAGATGGCCTAGGGTCAGATGCAGTGGCATGCGGGCGCCCACCCTGGGGTCCCTGGGAACAGTGTCCACAGCCCATGGCTGCCTGCCTGAGAGGGACGAGGGGCAGGTGGACAGCAGTGGGGTGGGGGGCACCGGAGCAGGCCTGGGCTCCCAGGTCGGAGAAGGGCGGGGACGGTGGAGGGCTGCCACCGGCACCCCCAGGACTCCCTCCGGCTCCCAGCCTGCCGCCAGCTGGTCCTTCCTCCCCTGCACGGGAGAGCTAAGCGTCTTGATGGCACCCACGTGGCGCCCACACGCGGGGACGCTTCCTTCTCACCCCCCTCTTTGCGGGCCCTCCCCGCACGTACCACCTGTCTCTAGCATCTTGTCCTCATCACCCCGAGGGACACAGCCCCAGCTGGAGCTGGCCGAGGCCAAGCAGTCCCTAAGCGTGGGTCCCACCGAGTGGACAGGAGATGCCGTGGTCAGCACAGCATAGCCCAGGTACTGGTTCACCAAGGAGGAGGAGGTGGGGGGGGCAGGACTGCAGTGGGCAGCACGTTCTTGGGGGCATTTGTTTTCGGTTGTTGCTCGAGACCCCAGACACGGGGAGCAGAGTCCACCCACCCCTGGACAGCCGTGTGTGTCCGAACTGGTCACTCTTCGAACTGGTCATTCAGGTGATTCCCCAGGGAGGGGAGAAGTGCCCCTTTGCCCCTCACCGTGGAAACCGTCTCGGGGGCCTATGTGGGGCTGCGTGCCCTTGTCCTCTCCTCCTGCTGGGGGTGACCCAGTAGGTCCCCTTGCCAAAGACTGGCCTATTCTGGGCTGAAGTATGGACACAATCCAGCAAGTTGGGTCGGGCAGGGAGTGCCCTGTGGGGAGCTGCCCAGTGGGAGAGGCTGGCAGAGTGCTGCCACCCTCCTGTGCAGGGCTGGGCTCCAGGAAGGCCCCGCGGGACAGCCCCCAGCCCAGATGGCTCGGGAGAAATTCAGAACCCCTGACAGCAGTGCAAAAACTCCTCTCTCTCTCTCTCTCTCACTCATTCAGTCACTTCCTCTTTCAGGCACTCATTGACGCATTCATTTACTCACTCACTCTTTCATGCTCTCAGTTAGCCCCTCAGACAGTTATCTTCTCATCTACTCATTCATTTGTTCATTCAGTCACTCATCTGCTCATTCACTTCTGCACTCAATCACGAATTCACTCACTCATTTACTACTTCACTCATTCATACACACACTCGGAGTTTGGTGGGTGGGTGCGTCTATGCCAACAACATGGACCCTGTGTATGTCAGCCTTCTGGGTGTGGGCTGGAGAGATTTGTCCATTCTCAATGAAGCGAACTTCATGGTGAGTGTCCACTGCGTCTCCCAGCCTCCATGGCCCCCTGGCCCTCTCTAGTGTACTCGGGAGCCTCTGTGGGGAGGGAGTCCAGTGGTGGACCCTTTCTCTCCCGTCCGACCCAGCTGCCCCCCAGACAGGCGAACCTTCAAGTCTTCCAGACGAATCTGGACCTTGCTCATTGCTTTGTCCAGCATGATGTAACGGCCCTTCATGGTTTCCATCTGGTGGCCCCAAATCCTCTCGAGTTCTTCCTCCTGAGAGGGGGGAATGGATGTCCCAGGCTTGGGCGTTGCTCCCACCAGCCTCATGGCCAGCAGAGACGAGAAGAGGCCCACAGCAGCCCTGTGGGCATCCCTGGCAGCACCGCGTCTGCCCCTCACCTCCCGGGCTTTCTCCTGTGACAGGGCCAACGCTGTCGGGGGCGGGGGCTCCCATGGCCCTGGGTCAGAGGCCAATACCCTCCTCCCTCAGGCTTTCCAGGGACACTGGCCTTCATCCTGGACTTCGAGAGATTGCTGATCTTCTCCTGAAGGACATCCAGGGTCATGCTGAGCTCAGCCATGCCGCCCATGTTAGCTGCGAGCAACAGTGGGTCAGGGGCTGGAGGAATCTGGTGGAGGGTCCTGCCTGCTCCCCTCGGGAGGGGGCTGAGGGGCTTGTCCCACAGAAAGATGCTCAGTTGGCAGCGTGGGGCCACCGCCACGTGTCCGGGAGCCAGATTTTTTGGGGGATGAGAAGAGTTGGGCCACACTGGCAGAGCTCAGGGATCATTCCTGGCTTTGTGCCCGGGGGCTACACGGCTACTTCTGGGCGACCACTTGCGGTGCTGGAGATGGAACCTGGAACTGGGGCCGGCCAGATGCGAGGCGAGTGCCTGACGCCCTGGACCATGCATGTCTCGGCCCCTTCAGGCCAGCACCAGAGCCCACCCAGGGGAGACTTCACGGGTGAGGACCTGGGGGCCGAGGGCCACAGGGAGGTGTGGGGGGACCTGTCGGGGGGCGCAGGGTGCTGGGCTGACCCACCGAGGTAGCTCACGCGCTGGTGCAGCTTGGAGGCCAGCTTGGCAAACTCGTCCTTGAGGCTCTCGTGCTGCATGGGCATCAGGGCCAGGTGACTCATGGACAGCTGGACAGCCGACCTCTTCTCCTCAGGGGTCGAGGCCTGCCTGGCGGCCTTCAGGGTTTGAGACATGACCAGGTTGGAAGGGACCCTGGCAGGCAGCAGAGGGCCCAAGAGACTGGACATCTCTGCGTCCCTCGGCTCTTGTTTCAGCGCCGCCTCCTCTCCAAGGTTGTAGGTGGCCCCCTGAGCAGCCCCCACGCCTGGGAAGCCTGTGAGCACCCCGAGGGGCCCCGAGGTGCCCGCCGCTGGGGTGGCAGCGGCCAGGTGCACGGTGGGCGCGTTCTGCATGGCCTGGGCAGCTGCTTGGGCGGCGCGGGCAGCCGAGGTGGCGGCAGTGGCATAGGCGACAGCAGCAGCGGCCGCGATGTTAGCGTCGGTCTTCAGCTTCTTGAGGCTGACAGGAGACGTGGGGGCTGCTTCCATGGCCCGGGGCCCCCGTCCTGCTGTGCCCTCCGAGGGTACCTCCTCCTGGCCTTCCAAGATGCTTTGCAGGTAGGGGTCCAGAGTCTGTGGCCACACTGGCTGTGGCCACACTGAGCTGTGCTCCCTGGCCAGTGGGGGGGCCCTGGAGCCCCAGGGCGGGGTGAAGAAGCGGGAGTCTGGAGCCTGGGAAGGGCCAATGCTGGGGACGTCTCTGTGCAGAAGGCAGTTTCCCGGCACTGGGAGCTGGGGGCCAGGGGTAGGTGCGGGTCCGAATCCAGGCCCAGATTCAGGGACAAACCAAGGCCCAAAGCCAGGCTCAAATCCTGGGACAGGCCAAGGCCCAAAGCCAGGTTCAAATCCTGGAGCAGGCCAAGGACCAAAGCCAGGCCCAGGCCCAACAGCAGAGCCAGGCCCAATGGCAGGTCCAGGACTAACAGCAAAACCAGGCCTGACTGCAGAACCAGGCCCAAGGGCAGAACCAGGCGCAGCAGCAGAACCGGGCACGATGACAGAACCAGAACCAGGCCCAGCAGCAGAACCAGGCTCAGCAGCAGAACCAGGCCCACCAGCAGAACCAGGCCCGATGACAGAACCAGGCCCTTCAGAAGAACCAGATCCGATGGCAGAACCAGGTCCAATGGCAGAACCAGGCCTAATGGCAGAACCAGGCCCGAAGGTAGAACCAGGCCCAAAGGCCAGACCAGGCCCAACGGCTGGACCAGGTCCGATGGCAGAACTGGGCCTGACGAAAGAACCAGGCCTGACAAAAGAGCCAGACCCAACAACAGAACCAGGTCGAATGGCAGAACGAGGCCCAACAACAGAACCAGGCCTGACAACAGAACCAGGTCTGATGGCAGAACCAGGCCAAACAGCAGAACCAGGCCTGACAACAGAAACAGGCCCAACGGCAGAACCAGGCCCAACAACAGAAACAGGCTTGATGGCAGAACAAGGCCTCAGAGCAGAACCAGGCCCAACAGCAGAACCAGGGCCAACAGTAGAACCAGGCCCAACGACAGAACCAGGCCCAACGGCAGAACCAGGTCCAACAGCAGAACCAGATCCGGCAGCAGAACCGGACCCGACAGCAGAACCAGGCCCAGTGGCAGAATCAGGGCCACCAGCTGAACCAGGTGTTGGTGTGGACCCGGGTTTTGGGCTGGGCTTTGGCCCGGGCTGCCCGGTGGCAAGGGCATCCTGGGGCCCAGGCTGAGCACTGTGGGGAGAGCCATCTCCCAACACCAGTTCCACGGTGTCGGAGGGGCATGGAGTGTGAGAGTCTGCGGGACTCGGAGTGAGTGGGGGCGCCGGGGCCTTCTCCGGAGCATCTGTGGACATGGCGGCAGGGCCGGGCTTGGCACCGGAAATCTCCCCTGCGACGTTCCACAGGTCGTCATTGTCCAGGGTCTGCGCTTTCTACAGAAAAGCTCCCTGAAGAAAGGGGGCCTGGGCTGGTCCCCCGTCCTGCCACCCCCCTCCCTCCAGGTCACCTGCAGGAACATGGCCTCGTGCAGGCTGGTCCAGAGCACCGTGTCCTTGGATGTGGGGATCGACTGTACCTTAGCCCGGAGAGCCATCTGGTGGGGGACAGGGGGGCTGGGGAGGGGTGAGTAGACCCGCGAGGCCCCACCTGGACCACCCGTCCTTCGCTCCCAGGGGTCCTGGCGGGCTGGGGCTGGGCCGGTGGACAGAGCTCCTCACCATTTCCCGGTGCAGGACGTTCACCTTCTGGTTCTGTGCATTGGCGTTACTAAGCAAAGCATCCAGATTCCCTGGCTGGATCTGTCGAAAAGAGCCCGTCCTGTGGGCCAGCCCAGGGGAATCTCAGGGACTCCGCTCCCGGGCAGGGCAGGACAGGAAGCACCAGATCCTAACGCGAGTCTTCTCCACGGAGCGGGAGAGAGCTGAGGAGGACTTCGTTTGAGAAAGGCCGGCTACAAACAACTGGGTCTGGGCAATAGTACAGCGGGGAGGGGGCCTGGCCTTGCGTGTGACTGATCTCGGTTCAATCCCATATGGTCAGCTGGGCCCCTTCAGAAGTAATTCCTGAGTACAGAGCCAGGAGTGATCCCTGAGCATCACTGAGTTTGTCCCCGCTCCAAAAACAACAACAACAACATACATTCCATGTGTTTCTGGACTGCAGGACTTCTCAGAGGCTTTCATGGACAAAAAAGACACCAAGACTATCCAAGCGGAGAGACAGGTGGAGAAGGACTTATATCTCAAGCTCGGACAAGTCCAGGGTCCTCCCAAGCATTTTCTGCATTTCCTGACACTACCTTTGTGTGGAGCGATAGCACAGCGGTAGGGCGTTCGCCTTACACGCGGCCAACATGGCCGACCCGAGTTCGATTCCTCCGCCCCTCTCGGAGAGCCCGGCAAGCTACCGAGAGTATTCGATATGCCAGACACAGTAACAACAAAGTCTCCAATGGAGACGTTACTGGGCCCACTCGAGCAAATCGATGATCAACGGGAGGGCCTTTACCTTTACCTTTGTGTGTGTGTGTGTGTGTGTGTGTGTGTTGCGCCATACCTGGTGATGTTCACGGCTTATTCCTGGCTCTGTGCTCAGAAATCGCTCCCGGCGGTGCTTGGGGCACCATATGGGGTACTCAGGATCGCACGCACGTGGGTCAGCCATGTGCAAGGCAAACACCCTCCCCGCCATCCCACTGCTCCGGCCCCTACCCTTCCTGCTTTGACGGGAGCCACCCCAGATGGCAAATCTCGCGGTAGCCAGGCCAGAAAGGCCGTGCTAAGCTGAGAGTCGGAGCAGGACCTGAAACAGATGGTGTCACCTGGGGCTGGGGGCTCCCCTGTGCAGCCAGCGCCCAGCAGCACAGCTGTGCCCCGGCCAGTTCTGCCTTCCAGCACACAAGGAACTTCCTCCGAGAGGAAACGCTGTTTCTCTTCCAGCTCTCAGTGGGCTCTCCACTGGACTCGCCATGCCCAGGGGAAAACCTGCCTGAGAATGAAGGTGGGTCCGAAGGAAGCACCAGGAGGGGTGGGGAGGGGAGGCGGGGATGCCAGGACGCACCCGGATCCCGCTGGACCTGCAGGCATTCCTGCGCGGCTAAGTGAGCGCCGGGCACTGGGAGGTCTACCTTTCCACACACTGCCTGCAGCCCGTCCACATCCTTCCTGAGGGTCTCAACGGCCACCTTGAGCTCGTAGGTGTTGCTGAGTAAGTCCTGCAGGGTCTGTATGGACTGCGGGGAGGGAGGGCATGACGTTGGTGTGGCTCAGGCAGAGGCCAAACAGAGCAGGGCAGACCGTGGCCGACAGCCGCACCCCGTGACAACCCCAGCACGTGACGCAAAGCCAGCTGTGCTCAGAGCTGTGGTGGGCTGTTGTGGGGCGGGAAGGAGGAGTGGGCCTGTTGCCTGGCATGGGGTATGCAGTGGCTGGCGGAGGCTCAGCAAGGTCCCCTGCTGGGTGGTTTCCCCAGGGTCTCTCTGAGCAGGAGAAACTGGGACCAGGCCAGGACCAGGAGGGCAAAACCCGGGCTCACGGCTCAGCCCCATCACCTGCAGCTGTTTCAGCCGCAGTTCTCAGACCCTCAGCCATACGAGGGGTGTGAGGAAAATAAAATGATGCCTGGGCCAGAGAGAGAGAGTGCAGTGGGTTCACTTCTCGGCACCCCAGAGGGTCTCCCAATCCCAAGCCTTCCAGGAGTGATGCCGAAGTGCAGAGCCCAGGAGTAAGCCATGAGCACAGCCTGGTGGGCCCCCAAACAAAATGAAACAAAATAAAACCAAAAAAGAAAATCGAATCCTGGGCCGGAGCTATAGTCAGGGGTGGGGCGCCCGCCTGGCACGGGGCACTTGGCCTCTGTCCTCAGCACCATGTGGGGTCCCCGAGGAAGAAAAGGAGGGAAGGGAGGAGACGGGAAGGGAAGAGGAGGAGGAGGAACGCAGGATCCAGAGCTGTTCAGGCAGCGAGTGGTGGCACGGCCTCCCCCTGGGCATCCCCTGAAGTTGCTGGTACCCGCCAGCAACTTGTCTCTTGAAAGCGTCTGCAAACCCCCAAGTTGGGCCCTTGCCAACTGCTTCTCTTTGACTCTTTGAACACTTGAGAGGGTGCGGGTGGGGCAGTGGCTGGCGGGGGCCAGCGGGGGCGGCAGGCGCTTACCTTGGCCATGGCTTCCTCATTGCCCTCCACGATCTTGCGGAGCTTGATGAGGTGGTACAAGTCCTCGATGGGCCGCTGGGTGCCGGTGCTGCTCTCCAGCAGCTGGGCGGTGGACGGCAGGGCCTGCAGCGTGGCCAGCTGGCTCTCCACCTTGTCAATGCGGCTCACCACGTGGTCGAAGACGTTGCTGAGCCTCTTCATGGGGGTGGTGGTGGTGGGTGGGCCGTCGGCCTCCCGGGGCAGGAAGCTGGCCGGTGAGGTCTGCAGGAAGTCCTCATCCCCTGACAACACCTTCTCCAGCTGGGCCAGGTGGACGTGGTCCAGGATGGCCTGGAGCAGCAGGTGCAGGGCCTTGAAGTTGACCACGCCACACTGCGGGATGGCCACATTGACCAGCTCTCTGAAGGTCAGCGAGAAGCTCATTCTGTCAGCGGGCTCTGCGTCTGTGGCAGGGGAGGGATGGGCTTGGGGGCACCCGGGACTGGCATGGACGACTCCTCAAAGTGGCCAGGGAGTCTGCAGGTGGCTGCGGTCACAGGAGAATGGCCTCTGTCTGGGAGCTCCGCTGAGCTTCCGGTTGCTAGGACACTGAAGTGGCCAGCGGGCCCGCTGAGGGCAGGGCGGGGCCAAACAGCCTGGCTGGCTGCAGCTCAGCTCATCCCTGCCTCCGCCATCTGAGGCTGGGCTCCGTGCTCAGGGGACCCTATTCGATGCCCGGGATCTAGACGGGGTCAGCCGAGGGTGGGGCAGGACATACATGTAGCTGGCCCTGAAGGAAGGCTCCAGGGTATCAGTGCTGTCTCCCAGATGGTTTGCGGCTCCCGAGCCAGCGGGACAGAGGGACAGGACAGCTGGCGAGATGAGGGGCTGGGGGAAGCCCCAGGGCTTGGATCTGAGAGGGCGGGAGGGGAAACGCCTTCAGAGCAGTAGCTAGTGGAGCTTGAATGATAGTCCAGCAGGGAAGGCACTTGCCTTGCACACGGCTGACCCGGGTTCGATCTCCGGCATCCCTGCCAGGAGTAATTCCTGAATCCAGAGCCAGGACTTAAGCAAGCCCTGAGCACAGCCGGTGTGCCCCCCTGGCCCCCAAAATATCAAGTCAAGCAGGGGCCTGGGGACCAGGGCAGTGGCTTACACGTACTACTCTGATAAACTCCAGGTGCCAGCCTGCAATGAAGGCCTGATCACCGAAGGCATAAACCCCTCTGCCATCAGAGCAATAGGTCGGCGGGAGGGCACTTCCCTTGTATGTGGCAGACCCGGGATTATACCTGGGCTCCACCACAAGTGATTCCTGAGTACCGAGTCAGAGGTCAGTGCTGAGCACTGCACCCCCAAAAAAGAAAAAAGATAAACCTGTTCTGAGGAGTGGGGGTTCAGAAAAAGGCATGCAGCTCAACACCAAGGACACAAGCACCTTTCTTATGGTCTTAGTGCAAGGCTTGGGTCAGGTGTGAGCTGTAGGCTCAGGAGGCGAAGTGAGGGCACCCCCCACCCTCATGCTCTGAAACAGGCTCCTGGTGGGGACACGGATCGGCACGTCTTTGTTCACTGGCAGGAGGATGAGAGTTCTGGGGACAAAGGTGTGACCCAAGGTTTGGGGCCAAGGGGGTGCCATCCAGCCCATTACAGTAAAGGTCAAGAGTGTGGATCAAAGGTAGACCACCTAGGGGCCGGAGCGATAGTACAGTGGGTAGGGCGTTTGCCTTGCATGTGGCCGACCGGGGTTCAATTCCCAGCATCCCATATGGTCCCCCAAGTTGAAGTAAGCTGGGTGTGACCCAAAAAGCAAAAACTACAACAATAAAAAAGGTAGACCACCTACCTGACATGGTTGTCAGGAGGACCCCCGAATACTGCACTTAAAGTAGTCCTGAGCACTACCAGGTATGGCCAAACAGGAAGGAGGAAAAAAATAAAGGAGAAAGAAACCCAAAACCATAGTGGTCGCCCCTATTTCCTGTGCCTGCTCTGGCGATCTACCCGCTGTACTATCACTCTGGCTTGTATTTTTAATATCTATTGGAACAATGTCCTGCATACACTGGCTTGAAGTGAACAGTAGTAAAATCAATCTCACCCTTTTTTTTTTTTCTTTTTTAGAAAACAGTAAAGTTTATTGGAGAGTGAAAGAGAAACTCTCTGGCAGGAGAGGAACTTAGTGTAGGGCCAAGTTCTCATATAACTTTGACATGGTACTGGCCTTCCGGCTAAGTCATTCTTCACACAGCTATCAGAAAGGCTGTTTAAATTGTCAGTGGGAATGACAGTCTAGTGGGACGTCTGTGCAGTCCCTGCAAACATGGAACCACACAGGGCACACAGGTCCCAGAGCCTCTGCTCACAGCAGCCGCATCAATCAACACGGGTGGGGACAGACAGCTCAATGGGCAGAGCACAGTCACAGGCTTTACATGTGACAGGCCCAGGTTTGAACCCTGGCCTTGCCTGATCCCTGAACACCTCACCGCTCAGCGCAATCCTGGAACGCTGCCAGATGTGGCCCCAAAGCCAATTACCCCCCCCCCCACACACACACACACTCCTACACAAATGGCCGGAGCGATAGCACAGCTGGCGGGTGTCTACCTTGCAGAGGGCCTACCCTAGTTTGACCCTCTGCATCTCATCCGGTCCCCCAGCACTGCCAGGAAGATCCCCGGGCACCGCGGGTGTGCCCCCTTCCCCAAAGCCCCCCCAGATCCAAGAGTCAAAACAACAACAAACAGAGCCGTGGTGGTTTGTGGCGTCTGTGGCGGTGACACTGAGCTCAAGGTCCATGGCAGTGAGGCCACAGAGGGACGTCGGGGCTTCGCGCTCAGCAGCGCCGAGCTGCAGAACGCCCGGCGCCCGCTCAGGAAGGGCCCTCGGCTGGCCCTGGAGCCCGGGCACGTCGCAGCCCCGGGGCGCCAACTTGGGGCCTCGCCCAGCCCCGGTGCACGCCGCACCACGTGCGCCCCTCGGCCCCGGACGGCTCGCGCGGTCACGTGTCCGCGGCGGCCCCGCCCCGATGACGTCATGCCCCGCCCCCGGTGACGCCTCAGGCCCCGGCCTCCCCGCGACAGACGCGCGCCCGCGGGCTGCGGAGGCGGCCGTTCCCGCTGCCGTGGGCGCCTTGGGCACGGTGAGTCGCCTCGGCCGCTGGAAGACCCCCGGGGTCGGCGGCCCGCGGAGCTCCCAGAAGCCGGTCTCGCGGCCCTCGGGGCCAGGGGCCGAGCCGGGCTGCGCGGCCCCCGCCCCGCCCCCGCCCGCGGCGCCCGCGCGGTGCACTCTGGGCGTTGTAGTCCTCCCGGCGGGACCGGCGCGGCGCCGTCGCGCAGGCGGACTTCATCCCCCAGAAGCCTCCGGGCGGGCGGGGGTCGGCGTGCGCGCACCGCGCCGCGGGGCCGAGGGTCTAGTCCAGCGAGCGGCCGGACCCGGGCTCGTCTCGGCGCTGCTCTCCCGCCGATCGCGGCCTTGGGAGGTAAAGGGCGCCCGCGGGCGGCCTCCCCGGGGCCCGGGGCCCGTGGGACCGAGGCGCCTGGCCGCGCCGCGTCGGTCGCCGCCCGCGGAGCGGTGGTGACAGCGGGCCGGGCGCGGGGGCGGGGAGCCGCTCCGGGGGGCGCGTAGTCTGGCTCCGGGCCGCCGGGCAGGTGGGGGTCGGGCTCGGCTGCGCCTGGCGCGGGGGGCCGCAAGGGGCCCCGCGGAGCCCCCTTTGACCTTGCGCGGCCCGGGGCTGAGCGTGCCCGCCCGGCGCTCGCCCGCCGCCGCCGGCCTGCGGGGCCCGGGGGCGCCCGTGGGCGCGGGTGTGGGCGCGGGCGTGGGCGCGGGGCCGCGTCGGGAAAGGGTGTGTTTCCCGTTGCCCCTGGAGGCGCCGCGGAGGCGCGCAACAGGTGTCGGCGCGGAGTTTGCCCTGCGTGGGCCGCGCCGCCCCCCGCCCCCGTGAGTCGCAGGTACCGGCGGCCCACCCAGGAGGCGGGGGGTCCCGGGCCGAGGCTCAGCTGTGACTGAGGGTGGGGCTGGGCGGGCCCGTGTGACCTCTCCGTTACTGACCCTCAGGGCTGACCTCTGAGTTGGCTCTGAGTTGGGTGGGGCCCACCGCGCCCTCTGCTCCGCGAAGGTCAGTCAGTCCCCCCCCCCACCCGACCCCACCCCAGCATCCGATAGGGAAAATCTCCAGCGGGCAGTTGTCCAGCGCAGGGCCCTGGCCCGGGCGTTTGGTGCCTCTGGCGCTAAGCGCTGGCCGCGCGGAGTCTGGCTTGGAGCTTGCCGTTCCGAAGCGGGGGTCTGGGGGCGCCTGCCCACCCCGGGGCGCCGCCGGGTCGGGGCGATCGCAGTGGCAGGAGCGGGGCGTTTGCGTATGGCGGGGACAGGCACTGGTCCTTGCTGGACGGAAGTGCTGATGGGAGCTCGGGGGACCCCCCTGGCCCGGGCTTGCCGGGAGGGGCAATCCCGCTGGCGGTGATTGATAGGCGCCCGCCTGGGTTGGGGGCGGGGGTCCCTGAGACCCCTAGGGAGCCGCTGGGAGCAGAGTGGACGCGGTTGGGGCAGGTGCGCAGAGAGGCAGGAGGGCAGGGTGGCGGCGGGGGCGTCCCCGGGGCTGGGCACTATTTCCGAGCTCCCGGCCAGGACCGCTGGGTCTCGGATTCTCCCCGGCAGCAGAGGGGGACCAGCCCTGCGCGACCCGCTCACCCCCCCTGACTGCCAGTGCGCCCCGCGGGTGTTCCCGGGCGTTGTGATGTATGTGGTGCCCCTGAACGTTCTCATCCCCGCTGCTTTGTGGGCCGCAGCCCCCTGGGAAGCCCGACCTTCTGTGCAAACCGACCCTGTGGGTGTGCGTGGATCCGCCTGGATTCTACCTCCTGCCTTTCCCCTTAAGCACAACTGGAGGCCTCAAGGGTGTCCCTTGTGGCTCCAGGGGCCCCTGAGCCGCCTCGGCTTCAGAAAAACCTGCGCTGGGGACGGTCTTGACTCCGGAGAGGCCGGTGGGAAGGGGCCTGAGCCGGGCAGGTCTGGATTCCGAAGGGCTCACCTGTTCCCCCTCCCTGCCCCTGTGACTGTCCTCTCTGCGCTCTCCCCCCTGTACTGCCCTCCCTCCATCTGCCTCACCTCCTCCTCCCCCTGTACCGTTCCCCCTCCTGTGTCTGCCCACCCACCCCCCGCCCCCCATACCTGTCAAATTTGGGTGTTTTTTTTTGTTTTGTTTTTGAGTCACACCCAGCGATGCAGCACAGGGGTAACTCCTGGCTCTGCACTCAGGAATCACTCCTGGCAGTGCTCAGGGGACCCTATGGGATGCTGGGAATCGAACCTGAGTCGGCTCTGTGCAAGGCAAATGCCCTACCTGCTGTGCTATCGCTCCAGCCCCCAAATACCTGTCAAATTTGAATCTGTCCCCCGTCCTGTCTGACTTGAACCTGTCGCTCCATGCTTGTCCCGCTTGGCCTGTCTTCAGTCCTGAGGCAGTGCCCAGCTGGGATGGGCCTCGCCTACCCGCAGCCCACCAGTCTGCTCTGTTCAGGCCTCCAGGCCCCCATGTGCTCCAGGCCCCAGGGCAAGGGGGTGCCTGGACAGCCTGGGCTCAGCCCCTCCCACTGCACCTCCGGGCCTTCGACCTGCTGGGAGAAGGCTCACTCCCCAGGGAGCAGGGCCGCAGCAGTTTTGTCAGCTGCTGACGCCCAGGTGTGTCTGGAGTCCCAGAGGTGACTGTGATCCCCAAGTGTGGATATGAGGAGCATTGCAGAGACGCCCTGTGCCAGGAGCTTTGATTATTGTGTGAGACACGGGGGTATTTTTGATTTGGGCGTGACACCTGGCACTATACAGTGCCCGTGTGTAGGCAGTGCGTGGGGCCCCCTCAGCTCGGGAATTAGGCCAGGGGCTTCCGCCCTCTGAACCCTGTTCCCAGCTGGTGTTTTCAGTTTTTCTTATCTTTTGGTTTTGGGGCCACACCCAGTGGTGCTCAGGGACCATATGGGATGCCGGGAATCAAACCCAGGTCAGCCGTGTGGAAGGCTGGACTATGAGTCTGGCCCCAGCCTTTGTTTTGAATCTTGTTTTCCTACCCGTGTAACGGAAGCTTCCCCGTCACGAGGAGTCCCAAGAGGAGGGTCTCTGGCCCTCTGGCTGCCTTGACGGGAGTCCCCAGGAGTGACCCGGAGGCCTGGGGCTGGGGCGTTGTGAGTAGTGCAGTGGGTGGGCGCCTGCCTTGCACACAGCTGCCTCTTTTGAGCCCCCACCCCACCCCATCCCCAGCACTGCTAGGAGTAACTCCCGAGCACCTCTGGGTGTGGCCCCCAAACCATACCAAAGCAAATAGCCTGGGACTGTGTTACAGGTTGTTTGACGGTAGCCTCAGGGCTCTGTGGCCCTGCTGGGCCTTCACTGCCCAGGGCGCCTGGCTGAGCCCGGCTGCTAGTGTGGGCACCTCCGCAGTCCCCGCCCAGCCCAGGGTGGGGCTGGGGTTCCGCTCCCGGACGGAACTGGCCCATCAGTTCCCGGAGGAAGGACTCAGGTGCAGGCTGCAGCCCCCCTTCCTCTGTGGCACAGCACCTGCCCAGGGTGGATGGTAGGTGGCATGCCAGGGGCATCCGCCTCCGAGCTGTGGCTGTCCCCAGGGCTGAGGGGCCACCCCTCTGAGATAGCTAAGTGCTGGCTCCAGGCCTGTGGGTGTCCCTCCCCCACACTGGGTGCAGCTCCTTCCTTAAGCTGTGACTGGCCTTCCGGCCATTGTCCCAAGTCCCCTCGCCTTGGCTGCAGTGTATTCACATTGCCTGTCCTCTGGCCAGCTTGGGGGACGATCCGGAGTCTTCACCAGGTCCTCTTGGGCACAGTGCCCTAGACTTTCTTCACCACTGGCTGTGCTCTGTGACTGGGTGACTCTTGAGCACAGAAAGGGCGTGCAGGAGACCCATGGTCCTCCCACCATGGCAGGGTTTCCTGAGAACCACAGATGGCAGAGCAACGAGCTGTTCGGGACTGGCCTGTCCCCCTGGGCCTCAGCAGGGCGGCTGTGCCCTTCCCATGTCCTCTGGCTTGCCCTGGAGACCCGGGCCCCAGGAGGCCTCAGGGGCTCCTTTCTTTACGTCAGAGGGAGCTGGGACCAGCCTGGCAGAAAGCCCCTCCTGGCCACATGCCTGGGGACAGCGGTGCCCTGGGAACAGGCACTGTGCCGGGCCTTCCCAGGGGCATCGCTGACGGGACCCCCGGGTGGAGGCAGCTCTGCTTCCTGGGGGCCTCGGGATATGTGGGCAGAGGTCCCTGGCCCAGGGTGCATCCAACCTGCCCTCTGACCTGTCCTGCACTCTGTCCCTTCCTGTGGGAGCTGTCGGGGTCACTGCCATTTGGACTGCTGCTCGAGCCCCTCCTAGGCCCCCTCCCCTCCCCGAATGCTTGAAGGGTCTGGCCCATGCAGAGGTGCCGGCGCAGGTGTGGGGTGCGCCCTGGGCAGCGTTCATCGGATCTGCCATCTGGGTGAGAGGGATCAGGCCACGTGGCAGCTGGAACGGGTGAAGCGCCCGGCCCGGACACCTGTCGTCTCTGGGAAGGAACGCACGTGCTAGGTTGCGGTGCTCGCTTCTGGTCTGGGTTCCCTGCAGATCCACCCCTTGCTCAGTTGTGGTGCGGAGGGGCTCCCTGGGGTCAGACTCTTCTCTGGCCTTTGAGCTGCACCTGGAGGCGCCCGGGTTGCTTTCAGGACCAGCCTCCTAGTGCATTCGCTGCGCCTGTGTGCGCCTCAGGCCCGGCCTGCTCGACTGTGGTGAGGGAGGGGAAGGGGCTGTGGGGGTTGCCTTCTTCCTGCACAGTGGGACCCCTGGGGAGGACAGCCCCGTCCTGGGGGAGTGGGCTACCCCTCACTGACCTGAGGATGTACCTGCTCCCCAAGTACTTTCCTTCTGAGTGCTTCGCGTGCGAGTCTCGCCCTGTGGTGCTCAGGGCTCCCGCCCGCTTCCAGCCTTTGGGATAGGGGCTACCCCAGGGGAGCTGCTGGGGGCATTTCCCGTGACTCCCAGCAGTCCTCAGCCCACTTGCTGTTTGCGCTTGGCGGTGCTGGGAGGGAGGGTTTGGGCCAGACCCAGTGGCCTCGGGGACTCCTGCCTCAGTGCTCAAGAGACTCCGTGATGCTGGGGAGTTGAACTGTGGGTACACTGCACCCACGTGACAGTGCCTTCCTCCTGCACTGTCCAGCCCAGCAGCTCTTTTTGGTGATTTTTGGGGCCATAGCTAGCAGAGCTTAGGGCTTGCTCCTCACTCGGTGCTCAGGAATAACTTGTGGCAGGTTCAGGAGTTCATATGGGGTATTGCAGATGGAACCCAGATCAGCTGTGCTCTCTGTACCCCAGTATCTTCGTGAAAAAAGTTTCACAGAATGGTTATACCACATTCTTCACAAAATGAGACCGGCCATGAAATCTGTGACTTTATGCTGTGAAGTACAGGCATCGTTTTGTGCTTTTATTTTTTCGCTTGTATCTCCTTAGTGTTTTGTTCCGTTTTGAGAGGGGCCACACCCTGCAGTGCTCCAGGCTTGCTTCTGACTGCACTCAGGGATCACTCCTGACAGTGCTCAGAGGACCATATGAGGTACGAGGATCAAACCCAGGTTGGACACCTGCAAGGCCAATGCCCCACCCGCTGTACTATTGCTCTGGCTCCAGTCCTTTTTCTTTTTTTTTTTTTGGTGTTTGGGTCACATGTGGAGCTGCTCGGGAATGACTCCTGGTGATGTCCGGGGCTAGTGCCCAGCCTGCTGTACTGTCACTCCTGCCCCAGTACTTTTTTTTTTTTTTTTTTTTTTTGCTTTTTTTGATGCTCAGGGGTTCCTCCTGGCTCTGCACTCAGGAGTTACTCCTGGCGGTGCTCAGGGGACCATATGGGATGCTGGGATTTGAACCCAGGTCAGCTGCATGCAAGGCAAACGCCCTGCCCGCTGTGCTATCGCTCCAGCCCCCCCAGTACTTGACTTTTAAAAGATGATTAAGCTCAGGAGCCACGGAGAGAGCTCAGGAGACAGGAATATTCTCATGCAGGGTCTCCCAACCCCAGCTGGAGAGGGAGGCTCAGCTGGCCCCCAAGGGGGTGGGGGGCACTCACTGCAGACCAGGGTCTGACTGGCAAGAGGGGCGCCTAGCAGCTTCCTTCACCTCTGGGTTTCTCCTCCAGGTTCAAGGGAGGCAGTGAAGATGTCCAATGAGCCACCCCCCCCTTACCCTGGGGGCCCCACGGCCCCCCTGCTGGAGGAGAAGAGTGGAGCCCCGTCCACCCCAGGTAGGGCCTGGCACTCCCGGGGCCCGTCTGGTCTGATGGAGGTGCTGGCGCCGGAGCCTCCCCTCCCTGCTTCTCTCCTCCAGGCCGCTCCTCCCCAGCTGTGATGCAGCCCCCAACGGGCACATCAGTGCCCCCTGCAGACATCGGGCCCCCGCCCTATGAGCCACCAGGTCACCCTCTGCCCCAGCCTGGCTTCATCCCCCCTCATGTGAATGCAGATGGCGCCTACATGCCCCCAGGTGGGTTCAGGGGCTCAGGTGAGGCCACAGAGCGGACCCTGCTGTGCTGGCACTCGGCAAGCCAGAAAGGGGGGGTGGGGGGGAGGCTGTGGGGCAGATGGGAGGGTCCTTTGTGTGAAAGTGGGGCGCACAGATGAGATCTCTGGGGAGACAGAACCTGGTTCCCTGCGCTGGCTGGCTAGGAAGCTTCAGCCTGTTCCCGGGGATCGGGACCAGGCAGGGATGCAAGAATATCGTCACTTTGGCCCGGAGGCCCCACTCTGTACTACTGGGTGCTGAGGCGGCTTAGGGACTTTGCCCCCCTCTCATGTGAGGAAGGTGCCAAGCCAGTGACTTGTTTCTGCTCTGTTTGCTGTTTCAGGATTCTATCCTCCTCCGGGCCCTCACCCACCCATGGGCTACTATCCACCGGGACCTTACCCACCTGGGCCCTACCCTGGCCCTGGGGGCCACACAGCCACTGTCCTAGTCCCCTCGGGGGCTGCCACCACAGTCACAGTGCTCCAGGGAGAAATCTTTGAGGGCGCACCTGTGCAGACAGTGTGCCCCCACTGCCAGCAGGCCATCACCACCAAGATCTCCTATGAGATCGGACTGATGAACTTCGTGCTGGGCTTCTTCTGCTGTTTCATGGGGTAGGTGGTGGAGCGCCCATGGGAGGGGGGACCGTGCCCACCCCCACCCAGCCGGAGTTGCCCGAGTGCTGGGGCATCTCCTCAGGGCTCCTGTCTCCCTCTGCCGCAGGTGTGATCTGGGTTGCTGCTTGATCCCCTGCCTCATCAATGACTTCAAGGACGTGACGCACACATGCCCCAGCTGCAAAGCCTACATCTACACATACAAGCGCCTGTGCTAACTAACGGAGCTGGACTGGACTCCCCACCGGTAGCCTGACCCCTGTGCTTTGCTCCCCGCACTCCGTGGCCTGGCTTCCCTACTCCCACGTGGGCTGGAAGCCACTCCACCAGCCCCTGGAAGTCTTGTCCTTTCACCTGGCCCTTCCCTGATAGTAGGACCCTTGGCAGCTACCGCTGGATTTAAGGCCAACGGTGAGCAGGTGGCAAGGGCTGGCACGGAGCTTGTGTCATGCTGGTGTGCCTGGCATTAGTATCCGGGAAGCTGAGTTAGGAAGGGGCTCTGGTTCGGTCCTGTTCTGCACAGGCTCGGTCTGCACTGGCTGGGACTGAAGCAAGCAGAGCAGTGCCTGCTGCACCAGTCGCGTCTGATCTTCACGGAGGAAAGCAGGGCCGTGGAGTCGAGTCGGAGAGGGTTTGGGTATGGGCGGCTGACAGTAGGCAGGATGGTTGGCAGGAATGGCCCCCAGGACTCTCAGGAAGCCTGCCCACCTTGTGAAGTGCCCAGGAGGCAGCTGGGATAAGGAAGTGAGGCCAGCATCCCTGCAGGCCACTGGGTAAGTGACTGGGCTCTGACTTGCCAAGAAGGGACTTGTCTCTCCCCCCTCCCCAGCTCCCCTTCTGGCCAAACCCTTGAGCCGTCTGCTGGTGCCAGAAGGAATGTCCAAGATTCACCCATCCAGCTACACTCTGTTCTTGCTGCATGTGGGAGTGACCTGTCCCGTGGCCGGTGCGTCCCACCTGAGACAGATGGCAGTGGACTTTCCATGGACTCTTCCCAGTTAACAGCACCCCCTCTTCACCCTGGCTGACTTGCTGTCGCTACGCTCGCTAATGTGTCAGGCATGGTGGCATCTGTGGCCCTGGACTGGGGACAAAGAAGGCAGAAGTGGCAGAAGCGCTCTGGTGGACAGCAGCCCTGCCCTGGGCCCACTCTCTTTCCGGAATGGTCTGTGTGGACTTGCTCGTGTGGATGCTGTACCCTGCTCCTGCCCCTCCTGGTCTTGCACTGCCACTGCATGGCCGCCTGTCACTGTGAGTCGTACCTGTCTCGGTTTGTAGTTTCTCATTAAATTGGCCCTTTCACTCCCTGCTGGGGGCCTCTGCTCTGCTCTCTTGCCTGGCTTCCTTCTTGCAAGGGACGGTGAGGGAGCAAGGGCCAGAGAGGGCGCGCCGACTGCCGAACTCAACCACGCCAGAGTGGGATGGTGTGGACAGTTCTGGCTGTGACCCAGTCACAGAGTAGTTGCTGTCTCTGATGCTGGTCCTCAAGGGGCATCCCAGTTCTGGGTAGGCTCTGCTCCAACCCCACATCTTAATCAAGGAGGACGACGAACTGTCATAGTCGGAAAAACTTCCCCATCAACTCAACTTTCTGATTAAACTTTTGCAGGTCCTCATTAATAAAAGTATGTAAGTTGGTACATATATACATAGATTTTGTGGTGCCAAGATGGAATCCAGGGCTTTACACATGCAAAACATAAGCTCTACTACTGAGTTACTTCGCGAAACCTCATTTTAGACAATGCAGTTTCATTATTTCATGTTTCTTTTGTTTGAGGATCATACCTACAGGCAGTCAAGGGGTCGTATAGGGTGCTGGGGATTGAATTTGGGATTGAACTCTAGCTGGCTATGTGCAAAGCAAGCACAATGCCCTCTGTATTCTCTCCCTAGCCTCTGCCCCCTCCACCTTTTTTTATCAGTTGGAAAAGGGCTGGAAAGAGTGCAAGGTTTAAGGCACTTGCCTGTATGCAACTGGCCCCAGCACCACCAGATATGGCCTTCAAACAAAATAGGAAATATAACCAGAGCTCAGTGGGCTGAACACAGGCTTTCCAAAATGCAGGCGGGTTGGGTTTGATCCTCCAAGTACCACTGGGAGAGGTCCTTGAGCACTGCAGGTTAAGACCCCAAACCAAAATAATTCAAAGATTATTTTGGGCAGTGTCCAAAACATTTTCGAGAATTAAACCACAAGAAAGAGGAACTCACAGGGTCTCTGAGGGTCAGTACTTTGTCTGGGATGAAGGTGACCAGTAGTGGTGGGGGTTCAGGGCAGGAGACAACCTGGGGACAGTGAGATAGGGGATACCCGTAGCAGGAAGGAGTAAGGCAACTGTCAGTTCACTTTATTCAGTGCCGAAGCATTAATATATACAGGTTAGATCCAGTCGCCTGGAGCAGACCCCTGAGGAGTCCAGGTCTGAGGCAGGTAGAGGCTCCTCGCTTCCTCCTAGAGCTCTGAGCAGGTTGGTTCCTCTGTTCCCAGTAGGGCAGAGGTGCCAACTGAGAAAGAAGGAAGATACCCAGCTGGGGGTTAAAGGTATGAGATCCCCAGCAGCAGAGCTAGTTCCAGTGCCCCAGCCTGGGGCTGCAGGGGGGTGGGCCTACACCCTGGTCAGCATCCGGCCCGCAGGAGACGCTGGTAGGCAGAGGATTTTGCGTCTGGCTTTTATTGGTTGCTTGTTTTCTCAAACCTAGTATTAGAAAATATGTCACCTGAGGTGGTGTTCAGTCACGGGTGGTGGTAGGAACCAGTGTGAATCCTTCACATGTAGTACCAAGCCAAGAGGCTAGCAGCCAAGGCCACACTAGCAGCCAGGAAGAACTGGAAGCTGGGCTGGCTCAACACAGCCATGGCTGTTCCGAAGGGGCAGTTGCTGCCCTCCAGGACACCTGTGGCAGCACCAAGGGGAGAGCAGGCATTAGAGGGGAGGCTGACAAGGCCCATCCTGGAAGGGGAGGAGTTGGAGACATGCTGGCCTACCTTTGTCTGCGCCGGTGTAGTAGGGGCATTTCCGGATGTCCCCTTTCCCATCATGCACTGGGATCCCATCCTCCACAGTCTCTTTGGCCAGTAAGGAGCCAGCCTGGTCCAGTTCATTGAATATCTGTGGAGCAGAGGGTCAGCAGCTATCACTGGACTATGTACACTGCCTGCAGACTGACCTTCCTCCCTGCAGAGGAAGCTGGGGACCGGTGAAGCTGGCTGAGGGGTACAAACTAGCCATCTGGGCCTGGGAGATGTGCACTGACCTGGCACTCCCCTGACCCAGCACCCCAAAGTGGCCAGCTGCAGAGGACTTGGCCTATGCATGGAAGAGGGTCCGTAACAAATTACTGGGGTGGATAGCAGGAGGGCAAGAGGGGTAATCTCACCCACTGTGAGCACTGACACTACCAATTCTAGGTATACTATTTTGAGCAAAACATGAGAAAATAAGGACGTGGGAGAAGTGATCCGTAGGGTTGGTGTGTCCGGAGGCATCAAGCTAGAAGTCATATGATCAGGCTGGTACTGCACACCCCCAGGCCTTGGCTCAGTCCCTCTGAAGGCTACGGAGCTCCTCGCTCTCTATAGTTCTCTCCCTGCTGAGAAGGGACTACCTCTGCCCAGGGAGAGCAGGACTGCCTTTGGAGCAGTCCTTGCGAACAAGGCAAATGGCCATTCTTGTTCTTATTTTGGGAGGTGGGGCACACCGGCAATGCTCAGGGGTTACTCCTGGCTCTGCACTCAGGAATTACTCCTGGCAGTACTCGGGGGGACCATAGAGGATGCTGGGGTCGAACCCAAGTTGGCGTATGCAAGGCAAGCACCTTACCCGCTGTACTATCTCCAGCCCCAGAAAGAGCCATTCTTTAAGACCTGAAGCCTCAGCCCCTCCATGCTGGAGGCGGGCTGTGCCTCTCGGCCCACGAGCCCGCCCGCCTGCTGCAGTACCTGCATGTTGTACTCAAAGGCCTTGTTGGCCTCCTCCACAATCTTCTCTTTGGTCTTCAGGTTCAGGTCCAGGGCATTCATCCTGGCCCGGTAGAACTGCTTGAACTTCTGAGCATTGTCTATATTCTCAAACAGGTAGAACTGGGTCCCTTCCCCAGTGCTAGGAAGTTTTAGGGCCCGCTGGGCCACCTTCTTCAATACCTGCCCCCCAGAGAGGTCCCCCATGTAGCGGGTATAGGCATGAGCCACCAGCAGCTCTGGCTCATTCTGCCCCACATAGTGAATCCGCTCCACGTATTTCTGTGTAGCCTGGGAACACTGCACTTGCTCTTCCCAGTCCTCACCGAAGAAATACTCCATATCCCTGGTCAAGGCCTTCTTCCGGTGCAGCTCCGTGGGGAAGTATAAGGGGGCAAAGGCCAGGTGGTCCTTGTTACGGTCCATTTCCTCCTCCAGGGCTGAGTATGTGAAATAAAGTGCAGTAGTGGCCAGCTGTTGAGTTATGGGAAGACAATGGGAATGGCTTAGGGGCTGGGCCACGACTCCTGAAGTCACACATCTTAGCCACTGAAGCCTAAAGACCCATCCACCCAGGAAGCTTGTGACGTGGTGAATCTTTAAACATGGATGCTTTATAGATATGGTTGTTCCACGTGAGCCACAAGAACCACTGGACATTGAGACTGAGGCCTGGGGCTGACTCCGATTTGATCCCCCTGGCACTAAGAGGGCCCTTGAGCACCAGGAGTGATCCCCAACCACAAAGCCCCCAGCACCGCTGGATACGGCCCAAAAATCACAACAGAGTGATGCAGAGAAAAGGCCCAGTTTCCCCCTCAACACAGCATAAGGGGACCTTTCTCATGGTACAAGGCACCCACCCCGATCCTGCGCACAAAGGCGGGCACAAACCTTGAACAGCTCCTTCCTAATGTTGCCTTTCAAAAAATCCTTCACAAACTGGGTGTTTTCTGCCCGGTCATGGGCTTCCTTGGTCCCTTCCTTCAGGAGCTCAGAGAGATCCGCCGTCCTACGGAGAGATGATTGTCCGTGCATTGCACGTGAGCCCTTCCCAACTCCAAAGGCCACTTGCTGAGCTTCGGAAGCAGGGCTGCTCAGAAACCCGACTAGCATCAGCACAGGGTCTTGCCAGGGAGCCTAAGGAAAGCAGACAGAGCCTCGAGGGACGGGACTGACCTACTCACTAGTGTCCGTGTCTCACTGAACCACCCAAATAAACCCCATTTTGATTCTCTAATGCCTGAAGTAACACATGTCCAATCCCACCACAGCATTTTCTGGTTTTCCACTGCTCAGCCAGTCTTTGGGAAGGTGTCTCCAATACTGTTCGTGAAAGACTGACTACCAGATTTCAGAGGTGGCCCTACAGCCACCTTGGACCCACAGCCTCTTCCAAACTGCCAGGCACAGGCAGGTGAGAAAAAAAAGGTCAGGAACGTAGCTCTGTGTGACTTAACAAAATCACAAAGGAAGTAAAGACGACACTGGTGATCACATGACCCCAAAAGCAGTTTGGGGGACTGGGGACATGTGTGTCCATTCAACCCATTTGTTCAGCAGAGAAATAGCTGGCTTCGGGGGGCCAGCTTCTCCACTAGATGAGTTCAAATCACCCACGTGCTAGAATGATTTATTATTAGCCATTATTTCAGAATGTGAAAAAAGAACTTTGCCAACAATGAGGTTATCAATTAGAAATTGAGAAGGCTGAAGAACAGGCACAATCATTTGAGCTCAGCATGAACTGGTCCTACAAGGTGAAAAAAACAGCTCTTCCCACATTCTAATGGGTGCCAGCTTTTTTGCCTCTACCTTTCTCACCCAGGATGTAAAAGCGCTTAAGAAAAGAACAAGAACAAGAGATCAAAGACTCTCCTGGCAGTGGCTGCTGCCTTCTGGGTAAGGTAGTGGTCAGAATACAGAGGGAGAGTTCTGAAAAGCCAAGAGCGCTGTATGCTGTCTCTGCAGTTCCAACCCAGCATCCACATTCCAGACTGGCAAGACTCCTGACTAGTGTGATGGACACTGTAGGCCCTGGTTTCCTTAATAGTGCAGCACCCCCACAGAGCTCACCTGGCGTGGTTTTCCTTTTCTGGAGCTCCGGGGCTCTTTTTCTCAGAATCATCCATCCCCTCTGAGGTCTCTGGTTCTGCTGACATGGCGGCCAGTTTAGATTCTTGCTGCTCTCACTCTTCTGGGCCTGTAGAGACACAAGGGACTGAGTGATGTGGCAGTTACAACCATCACTTCCCCCAAACATCTGCTGAACAAAGAAAGCCTGGAAGAGGAGAGAAGGACCAGGGACAGAGAGAGAAAGAAAGAAATCAGGCCAATGATTTGCATTGTGACCCTGCACTGCAGACTTCCTGTCAAAGGAAGACACCTATTCCAGAAAGGCTGATCTTGTCCCTTCTCTCCAACTTCAGAAACCATGACTCTCGATAAAATCTCAGTACCTCAATAAAAATTATAAAGAAAAAACTTATCTCCACAACTGTCCTCACTGCTCACCTGATTTTTATTCCACAACTGATCTGACACAAGCAGCATCACATGGGTCACACCCATATGTGACTTACAGCTCACTCCTAGCTGTGTTCAGGGATCACTCCTGGTGGTGGTCAGGGAACCATAGGTGGTGGTGGGGAGCAAACCCAGGTGAACAAACCCAGGTGAACTGAGGGGGGTGGAGCTATAGTAGAGTGGGTAAGGCATTTGCCCTGCACACACCGACCTGGGTTCAATCCCAAATGGTCCCCTGAGTCTTCTAGGAGTGATCCCTAAGCACAAAGCCAGGATAAGCCCTGAGCACCAACAGGTGTGGCTCCAAAAACCAAAACAAGAAACAAGGGCAGCTGTGTGCAATGCAAGTGCTGTACTTTATCTCTGGTCCCTTGTGTATTCTTGGTACGCAGAAGTTCTAGGTTCAGTTACAGGCACTGTGTACCATCAGGTGATTCAAACACCGCCCCCCCCCCCCCACACACACACACCACCAAAGCAACAACAACAAAAAAGCCCAAAAAGCATGATCCACAGTGTAGGTAAAGGCACAACCTCCTAAGGGCAGTTTTCTCGTCCATGAAAGAATCTCTTCTTAAACTCCCCCTGTCCGAACATAAAGTAACAAAATAGGAGACTAACACCCAAGAGTGGCCGAGATTAGTACCAGGAGGTTTGTTCCATGGCTTGGAGGCCAGCCACACATGCTAGGGGGAAAGGGAGCTCAGATAGAGAAGGGAGCACCAAATAAAGGGTGTTGGGAGGATCCTCCCAGGATGGGAGAAGCATGCTGAAAGTAGACTGTAGACCAAACATGATTGCCACTCAATGCCTCTTTTGCAACCCACAACACCCAAAAGGAGAGAGAGAACAAAAGGGAATGCCCCGCCACAGAGGCAGGGTGGGATGGGGAGGGATGGGGGGTGGGAGGGATACTGGGACCCGTGGTGGTGGAAACTGGGCACTGGTGGAGGGATGGGTATTTGGTCATTGTATAATTGAAACCCAAGCACAAAAATTTGTAAGTCTACAACTGTGCCTCATGGTTTCACTAATAAAAATTAAAAAAAAAAACCCACATTTTTTAAAACAAAGGAAAATAAACTCCCCCTGTCCTTTTGGGTCACAGCCAGCAATTCAGCTCAGCAGTTACTCCTGACACTGCACTCAGGAATTACTCCTGGAGGTGCTCGGGGGACCATATGGGATGGCAGGGATTGAACCTGGGTCACCTGCATGCAAGGCAAACACTCTACCTACTGTACTATCACTCCAGCCCCAAACAGAGTCTCTCTGATCCACATCTTTATGTGTAGCATGGGACAAATAACTTCACGTCATAATTTCGTGAATTGTACTGCTGCCCAAATGGCGATGATGATCTCTATTGCAAAAGCTGTTGGCAAAAATAAGGAGCTGGGTAATTACAAAACACAAAAAGAACACAAAATCCAGCAAATTGACAGATAGCACTGGACAGGTCACAGTAAGCACTAAACTCAGCTTGCTCCCTGGCAGTGTCAGGAAAGGGGAACACCTGTTCTTTCCCAGCGAGACATGTGCCATCATGGCACCTAGAAAATCAACACTGCAGATGCTGCTGGCTGGAGTGGAGTTGAATAAGAGCTAAACAAGGGATTTGAGTAAGAGATGCCTCATGACACCCTGAGGAAATCATGTCATCTAGGTCAGGGGTTCTCAAACTCACTTGGCTTACTGCTCCCTCTCCAAAAAAAAAAAAGGAAATACAGTGGACAGGATGATGTTCATGTCCTTGCATGCGGCTGATTGGGTTTGATCCCTTGACACCACATCTGGTCCCCTGAACACCTCCAAAAGTAATTCCTGAATACAGAGCTGGGAGTAAGCCTTGAGCACCGCCAGGTGTAGTCCAAAAACAAAAACAAAAACAAAAACAAAAATAAAAAATATATATACAGTGCCAGAGAGATTGGAGCATAAGAGTGTAGGCTTTGCATGAAGGTCTATTTTTGACTCCAGAACTTCATATCCAGAGTATTACTAAGAGCAACACGCAAGCACCGATTTAGGAGCCCCTGAGTACAGCCAGGTGTGGCCCCCAAACCAAAAATAAATAATGATATGGGGCCTGAGACAGTACAGAAGATAGGCCAACTGCCTTGCATATGACATCTAGGGTTCAATTCCTGGCAGCCTATATGGCCTCCCAAGACCCCTGCCAAGAGTGATTCTTGAGCACTGATGGGAGTGCTCCCCACCAAAATAAATAAGAATAAAATGTGCAGCCAAAATTAACAAAAGCATGCCTACACATGTTACTCCATGCATTAACAAACCAGTAATACGTCCAGGTGTCAGTCTCTAAAACAGACGAGATTCTCTTTTTGCTTATTGCTCCAGGGAAAGGCAACAGTTTTTTTAGCCTTAAGGAAGGAGATGAGGCTGGAGAGAGTTCAGCAGGTAGGGTGCTTGACTTGCACACAGCCAAACCGGTTCAATCCCCAGAGTCCCATATGGTTCCCCACGCATGCCAGGAGTGTTTCCTGAGCGCAGAGCCGGGAGTAACCCCTGAGCACTGCTATGTGTGGCTCAAAAAAAAAGGTGGGGGGAAGAGAGAGACATATGGGAAGGGCAATCATCCAACAGCTCATAAACCAAAAACAGCGGAGAAGCAAAAGCTCCAATGCTCTGAGAGGTAGATCCAACTCTTCTCAGACCAAATCCTAACAGAAGCCCAATACATAAGGCAGGGAGAGACATCAGGGCAGCGAGAAGTCAAGGCTCGGTATCTACAGGGGTCTTAAGAAACCCGAGTTCAGCCCAGTTTGCTCAAATGTGGCATAGGAGAACTAGGACACTCATTTTCTAGCTTCCATTTTCCACTACACGTGCTATGACACAGTTCCAGGATAGTCTTGTAGTCCAAAGCAGCTAGTCCTGGATTATACACTTTTCCAGACTGGCCTAAGGTTATTGATGAGTGATCTACTAATATATCATACAGCAACTTCCTAAAGAATTTCTTCATCTTTTAAAAGTCTGTGGTCACTGTGCCTTCAACTTAAACAATCCCTGGCATCCCCTGTACTAGTAGTTCGCTCCAACTACCAGCTGCACTAAACTGTGAGGTCAAACAATGTCTGAAACATCAGCTCTTGCTGGTGTGGGTAAGGCTGCTCTGCCCAGGTCTGCCCTCCTATCGTGGATAGACCAGCAGCCTCACTCACACTAACAAGAGCTGGTGTTTCAGCGACACTATTCCTGGGAACCAGATTAGAAAACACTGTACTTCATCCCCCACTCATGTATGTCCCGCAGCACTTGGTGTTCAATGAAAGGTTGTTTACAAGAGTCCCAGAGCTTCTGTCTCTAATCTTCCACTGAAACACAGATTTTGTGAAGACGTAACTTCAGGGACAAGCAATTCTGGAGAAATACAGGAAGGGTATTTGTCAAAATAGATTATTTTATAATAATAGCTTTTCATTGTAAATCCCGTTGAGAATTAGACGAAGTCTTTGTACTCTTTCTCGAAAACAATCACAAATAAAGATTTTATTTGCTTCTGTTTTGGGCCACACCTGCAAAGCTTAGCAGTAATTACTCTTGGCAATGCTCAGGGAACCAGATGGGATGCTGGGGGATTGAATTCAGGTGGCCTCGTGCAAGGCCTTACCTGCTGTACTCTCTCCAGCCCATGTTTATTTTTTGCCTATGCTATTCCAGAACATTCTCGAGGCCCCTTAGATTCCCAGAACTGAGAGGAAGAAATACGTTCTAGAAGAGCCTCTTTATGTGGGTTTTGTTTGGGGAGGCCACACCCAATGATGTGGTAGGTTACTCCTGGCTTTGCACTCAGGAATTATTTCTTCTTCTGGTGGGGCTGGGAAACCATATGGGATACACAGGCTCAAACCTGGACTGGTTGTGTGCAAGGCAAACGTTGACCTGCTGTACTATCACTCTGGCCAAAGTTCCTAATTTCTGTTTTGCATGTCTTTATCTCTCCCATCTCACAGACTGTAAAAACCACCATCATAAACCTTACAAAGTAGTTTTACCATTTCACATCTCCCCCCTCCCCAGGGGGACTGTGAACTCTGAGTGACCAAGAACGGCATTCGTGTTTTTGCACACACCAATATATATTTGCCAAACAAGTTATCATCACTTAAACATTGTCACTGTCCTCCCGTTGTTCATCGATTTGCTCGAGCGGGCCCAGTAACGTCTCCATTGGAGACTTTGTTGTTACTGTGTCTGGCATATCGAATACGTCACGGGGAGCTTGCCAGGCTCTGCCGTGCGGGCGAGATACTCTCGGTAGCTTGCCGGGCTCTCCGAGAAGGGCGGAGGAATCGAACTCGGGTCGGCCATGTTGGCTGCATGCAAGGCAAACGCCCTACCGCTGTGCTATCGCTCCAGCCAGCACTTAAACATTATTTCTTTAAAATCCGGGAAGAAGGCAAGAGCGATAGTACAGTGTGTAGGGTTCTTGCCTTGCATGTGGTGACCCAGGTTTGACCCCCAGCACCACAAATGGTCCTCCAATCACTGCAGGATATGACCCCAAAACAAAAAAAATAATAAAACCTGGGAAGGTGCCTTAGAAAAAACAAATATAAAGACAAAAAAATATAGCTCCTGGGGCTGGAGCAATAGCACAGCGGATAGGGCGTTTGCCTTGCACGCAGCCGACCTGGGTTCGATTCCCAGCATCCCATACGATCCCTCAAGCACCGCCAGGAGAGTAACCCCTGAGCATTGCCGGGTGTGACCCAAAAAGCAAAAAAAAAAAAAAAAAAAAAAAAAAAAAAACTCCTACATCTCTGGAACTTTGCAAAAAAGATAAATAATAGATTCATCTCCCCAGGCTGGACAGTGAGTAAGATTCTTAGATTCTTACCTTGCATGGGGCCAACCCAGTTTAACTTCTGCCACCATATGTGGTTCCCCAGCCCCACCAGGAGTGATTCCTGAGTACAAAGTCAGGAGTAAACCAGGAGTAAGACCTGAGCACTGCAGGGTGTGGCCACAAAACAAAACCCCCCCTACACACACCCCACATCTTTGAGCCCACCAGGAGTGATATCTGAGCAAAGCTGGACATGGCAACAAAATCTGTTTTGCCTCCTCCTCAATTTCTGGATTTGGTTTTTGACCACACCTGGTAGCGATCAGGGAGCATTACTGGCGGGGCTAGGGTATCATATGAGGTGCCAGGGATAGATCCCAGAACAGATGCATGCAAGGCAATCAGCCTGCCTTCTGTAATATCTTTTCAGTCCCTCAGAACTTCTGGAATGCTTTTCTTTTTTGGTTTTTGGGTCACACCCGGCGGTGCTCAGGGATCATTCCTGGCAGGCTCGGGAGACCACATGGGGTGCCTGGGATCTAACCCGGGTCAGCCACGTGCAAGGCAAACACCCTACCTGCTGTGCTATGGCTCCAGCCCCAAGAGTTACCATCAGTAATGGCTCCTTAGGGCAAAAGTATCCTGAGAAAATTTTCAGAGCACAACTAAAGACGGTTTTCATCCTGTTTATACATAAACCTAATAGTAATTAATCAAGTTAAAAGCAGATAACCTTCACTATGTGGAACACAAGAGAAAAAGGGACCAGAATTCCTAATTCTCCCAGAAAAAGATTAGCACTGTAGCACTGTCCTCCCGTTGTTCATCGATTTGCTCAAGCAGGCCCAGTAACGTCTTCATTGTGAGTCTTGTTACTGTGTTTTGGCATATTGAATATGTCACGGGTAACTTGCCAGGCTTTGCCATGCGAGCGAGATACTCTCGGTAGCTTGCTGGGCTCTCTGAGAGAGGTGGAGGAATCGAACCCGGGTCAGCTGGGTCCGCTGCACGCAAGGCAAAAGCCCTACCCGCTATGCTATCACTCCAGCCCAGAAAAAGATTACAATATATATTTATTACAATATATATTTATAAGTTTTTGTTTAGACACAGCCCATCTATACAAGGAATTTAGTTTCATCATCCATCTCTGAGGAACTGCGATCTGAATTCTAAATTTTACACTTAGGTCTACAATCTGAATATATTCTACACTAAAATCTACAATTTGAATATTAAAAATATTTTCCTCCTGGAAGTGATATTTTAGTTTTTTTTTTTTCTTTTTGCCTCATCAGGCCATGCTCAGGGTTACTATGGCTCAGCACTCAAGGATCACTCCTGGCTGGGTCTGCGGTACCATACAGGAGCCCTGCACCTGCTGTACACTCTGGCCTGGGCACAGCAATCTTAGTAAGAAAGTTAGGGGCTGGAGCGGTAGTACAACAGAGAGGGTGCTTACCTCACACACAGCAGACCTGGATTTGATCTCTGGCTTTCCGTATGGTTACCCAAGCCCTAGCCCTGCCAGAAGTGATTCCTGAGCCCAGAGCCAAGAGTTACCCCCTGAGCATTACCAGGTGTGGCCCAAATGCAAAAACAGAAAAAGAAGTCAACTATTGAAAGGAGACAAATGCGAGGGAGGGATACCGGGAGCATCGGGGGTGGACAATGTGCACTGGTGGAAGGTGTTTGACCAAAACTCAAACGTTAAAGTTTCGTAACTGCAGCTCCCGGCGATTCAATTAAAAATAAATAAAAGGAGACAAACCCAGGCGCTGGAGCAGTAAATAGCGCAGGGGGTAGGGCATTTCGCCTCGCACTCTGCTGTCCCGGGTTCTGCCCCGGGCACCATATAGGGTCTTCTTGAGCACTGTTAGTAGTGATCCCTGAGCACAGAGTCAGGAGTAAGAAGCCCTGAGGGCGGCTGGGTGTGGCCTTGAAGACAAACAAAACGCGAAGGAGCCCAAGGGGCCCAGCTGTGCAGTCTTCCTCTGGAACTGAGCCGGAGGCGAGGTGGGGAGGAGCGAGTGAGCTCCGCACGACACAGGCGTGACTTTCTGTCACCTCTCTGCCACCGCTTCCTCCAGCCCCTGACTCCGGGGCCACGCGGGGTCTCACTTCACCGGCGGGTACAAGCAGGAAGCAGATCAAGTCGGGCCACGCTGGAGCCGCAGATGTCCCCGCCGGCGTCTTCAGGGGGACGCGGCCCCCCTGCGCGTGTCTCCAGGCTCCCCTCGCAAGGGCTGTCGCGGGGGCCGCGACTCGGCCACGGTTCTTCCAGGCTCGCCGGATTAATTCTGCAAACGCCCGAGAGAGCGAGCTCCGGGCTGAGCCACGGTTCTGCCTTGTCACAGTTCTTCCGGCCAGCAGTCGGTGGGGCGCTCGCCTTGCATTGCAGAAACCCCCGAAACCCCCCGTTTCCCGACCCTGCAGGCCCCCCGGAGTGACCCCTGAGCACCACCACCCACTCCTCCAAAAAAAAAAAAAAAGCGACAAAGCGACCCCGAGGAAGCAGAGCGAGCCGGCGCGGGGGTCGGGGGCGCGACCCCGCGGGCTGCAGCGCTCCCGGCCGGTCGGGGGGCCCCTGGGCGGCTCCGGCGGGCGAAGGTCGCCCCGGAAGCCCGAGGGCCAGCGGGAAACCTCGATTCCGCCCGCGCTGCCTCGAGGCTCGGGCCGAGCGGGGGTCGCCGCGGCCGCCGTGACAGGGCGCGCGGGGCCGTCCCGACCCGCCGCGTCACCGCCTGGTCCCGGCCGTGCCTCCAAGGGCGCTTCCGACGGCGGGGGGGGACCCGTGGGACCCGCCGCGACCTCGCTCACGTCGCCCCGTCCCTCGCGACGCCGCGATCCGGTGGGCCCGGGCGTTCCCTCCCCGGCCCCCCTCAGCCCACTTCCGGCAGCCGCTCCGCGGGGGTCGCCCTCAGGCCGGAGAACCGGGGGCGGCGGGACTCTCTCGACCCGTCCCGGCCGGGGCCGCCGGCGCTCCCGAGGACAAACACTCCCGGAGGTCGCAGACACTCACCGGCCGCCCGACCGCGCCTCGCGTCCGGCAGTCGCGGCGTCCGCGCGCCCGTCAGCGACTCCCCCGGGCGCCGCGGGCGCAGCAGCCGAGCGGGCGGGCGCGAGGGCGGCCCGAGGTGCGCGCGCATCGGGGGCGGGGCCCGCGCAGGCCACGCCTCTGCGGCGGCCCGTGGCTCCTCCCCGGCCAGGGAGCCCGGGCTGACCGGGGGTGTGCGGTGGGCTGAGCGCCCACGTGGGAGCTCTCCGGGGGTGGAGAGAGTCCGGGGTGGTTGTTAGCGTTTCCTACGACCTAGCAGTGTTCAGTCCCACCTGTGCACGCTTGCTGGGACTAACGACACAAATTATCACCTACAGGGACGCCGCGGATCTGGCTTCAACAGGGCCCCAAAAGCAGCAGTTTCTATTCAAAATATTGTTTAAGGGGTAAAGGTAATGATATCTTACAGCTTACTTGAAATGCAGCCAGGAAGTGGACTTCATGTAATTTTCTGCAGCTTACTTGAAATACAAAAAAGTAAGGGTTGGATGGAGAGAAAGTAGGTAAGGAGCTTACAGGGCTAGTTCCCCGGCAACGGGCACGGTCTCCTGGGCACCACCCGGAGTAAACTGTGAGGACAGCCGGGTTTGACCCAAAACCTAAAAGAACTGGAGAGCTCTTGCCGGCACTTGTGAGAGACCCTGCATTCTACCCTGGGCATCCCAAACCACTAACACGTTCTTTTCTTAGTTTGTTTTGAGCTAGAGGTGCTGGTAGGAGTGTAACTTCAGGGGGTACCTTGGGACTCCTGAATACAAAGCAGGCACACTGACTTAGTTATCTTCCTAGGACAGAGAAACAGGAAGTACACCCAATCAACACACTCGTCCAGTGGCACTGATTAAAGGAAGGTTGCTTGGAGGGTTTGAATGAGGGAATGCAGGGCTTAGCCTAAACCTGACACCCAAGAAGAGCCCAGATTAGGGTGCCCACTGATATCACCATTAGTAGGTGTCACCGGGAAGCTGATGACGCAAAGTCCCACAGAACTGCTGAGTGAGACCGAGTTCTAGCCACAGCTGCCAAGTCATTCCCCAAAGGTCCCAGAAGGTCACCTGGTTGTGGGCAGAATGAGATTCCAGAGATAAAACTTTAGCTCAGAGTCAGGAAGCTGGAATGCCAGTCTCCTGGCCACTGCTGAGAGTATCACCCAGCACTGCCAGGTGTCACCCCAAGTCCTATTCCTCTTCCTCATTACCAGCTATTCTTGTCTTGAAATTTCTGATAATTATTTTTAAAAATTTATTTGTTTATTAAGGCATTATGATTTACAATGTTGTTTGATCATAATAGTTTCAGGCATACAATGTTCCAGAACCAGTCCTACCACCAGTGTCACCTTTCCTCCACCAAGGTCCCCAGGGTCCCTCCCACCCCCTAGGCTACCTCCTTCACAGGAACTTTGGTTATTGTAGTATTGTAAATTCTTGGTATTTTTGCTCTGTGTGTGTGTGTGTGTGTGTGTGTGTGTGTGTGTGTGTGTGTGGATTAAACCCAGGTTTCAAGTATGTAAGGCTATACTTTAAAACTGAGCCATGTTCCCAACACCAGAAATTCTAATAAACTTTAAGCAGTTATACCAAACGATGTTAATTTTTTGGCAGGGGTGGGGAGATTGGGCCATATCTGGGGTCCTCAGGGGTTCCTCCTAGCTCTGCACTCAGGAATCAGTCTTGACAGTGCTCTAATCTGGGTCTGTCTATGCAAGGCAAGCACCAAACCCACTGTACTCACTCTCTGTCCCCAAGTTCCATTAATTTTTTAAGAAGGAGCTGCAGAGTTTCATCTTTCACTAGATCTTGGAAATAATATTGCTGCTCCTGCTGGGAACCTTTATGTTTGGATTTATTTTTTTAAAGTGGAGATCTCAGAACATCAGGTTTTGTGAGTTTAAGTCCACACGACCACGATCATCCTGTTATTCGTCGATTGCCTCGAGCAGGCCCTAGTAATGTCTCCTTCATCCTAGCCCTGAGATTTTTTTAAAAAGTGCCATATTCAAGACTCTTTCAGAGTTAGGAGAATGAGACCCATCATTGTTACTGGTGTTTGGCATATTGGGTATGCCACGAGGAGATTGCGAGACTCTGCCGTGTGGGCAGGTTACATTCAGTAGCCTGCCAGTTTGTCCAAAGTAAGAATGAGATATTAAGATGTCGTGTGGCCGCAAATGCGGGTTTTATAGTCTCTGGGTCTTGGCCGTTGATGGGATTACACTGCGCCAGGGGGCCAGTTGGTGGGTGTGACCCCTGCCTACTGGAATTTGGAGGATCTGGGTGGAGGATGCTCACCCCCGATCTGAGCAGGCTTGGAGATCTCAGCCCCAGGACCCGCATGCCTTTGTTCCTCTGCAGGTACCTTCATGCGTGTGGAGAGTGGTCCACACATTAGAAAAAAAAAAAGGGGAGGGTTGGAGAGATTTCATAACAGGTAAAACGCTTCCTTTGGCTGACCCAGGTTGGATCACTGGCGCCCCATCTGGTACCCAGAGCGGGCCAAGAATTTAATATCCCTTTAATCTCTGAGTTTAGAGCTAGTAAACCCTGAACACTGCTGGGTGCTGAAAGCCAAACCAGAATACAAAACCAAAACAAGATTAATCCCTGTAGATTCCAGGTTCTTTGGGGTTTTCTTTGTTTATTATTTGTTTGTTTGTTTTTGGGCTACACCGGGCGATGCTCAGGGGTTACTCCTGGCTCTGCACTCCGGAATTACCCTGGCGGTGCTCAGGGGACCATATGGGATGCCAGAAATTGAACCTGGATGCCAGATTGATCTGGAGATGCTAGAGATGGAACGCTGAACTGTCGCTCTGGCCCCCATGAGCCTCTGATCTTTGAGCAACACTGCCTACCCCAGTGCTCAGGTGTTCATGAGCGATAAAGGAGAGCAAGCCCAAGAGGAGAGACCAGGAGCCAGCACCCGAGGAGTGACCTGAGCACCGGGGGCGGGATCCCAGCAGCCGGCGGAGCTGCGGTCCAGCAGAGCTCGGGGGCGGGGCGACCCAGGCGGACTCTCTGATTGGCTGCGCGCCGGAGCGCGCGCTCGGGCTGGGCCGGAAGTGGGGGTCCGGCCCACGCCGGGGGCGCCCGGGAGGGAAGGGGTGGTCTCTGCGCGCCTTCTCCAACAGGGCGCAGCTGACCCCAGCTAGGGGACCTGGCCACGGCCCCCCGCCTGCCCCGCCGTGTCCCCGTCGCGCCCCCATGGCCCACCCGCAGCTGGTGGTGGTGTTCGGAGCCACTGGTAAGCGCTGCCGCCCCCCGCCGCGGGCAGGGACCCCCCAGCCCGTCGGGGATCCGCAGGAGTCGGGTTTGGGGGCCCCCGTGAGGACGGAATCTCAGAATCGCGGTGCAGAATCACCCCTTTTTTTATGGGTCAGCACGCAGCGGTGCTTGTGGTGGTGGGATGGGGCCACGAAGGCTGCTCGGAGCTACTGGGGGCCTGGGGGTGTGGATATGAAACATGTATAAATTTATGCTTATAAATTCTGTTTATAAACATGAATTTATATATATTTAAGTTTAGGACTATAGCCAGCAGAAAGATTTTAGCCGTTTTTATTGAGGTACCGGTCTTGACAATAATATAAATTTTATTTTGCATGCATACAGTGTTCCAACATCACTCCCATATTATTTGAAAATTTATAGTCCTGTAAAAAAACGTTTACTTTTGAAAATAAATGATCAACTTGTCATTGACTTAAAATTTTGTGTAATCTAGGGAGTTTACCTTTATTCACATTTGTGCAGGTGTTAACCACCTCCACAATCAAAAGAAAAATCTCTCATGTGAGATATAAAGAAACATAGAAAGGGAATAAGAAAAGTCCAAATGGCAGTGGAACTAAATATATATATATTTTTTTGGGGGGGGCATCACACCTAGCCATGCTCAGGGGTTACTCCTGGCTCTGCACTCAGGAATTCCTTCTGGTGGTGCTCCAGGGACCACATGGGATGCTGGGGATGGATCCCTGGTTGGCTGCATGCAAGGCAAACGCCCTCCCTGCTGTGCTATTGCTCTGGCCCCACTTAAATGTATTTTTGTCTACATAAATGAGCTTCCCTGGGGTGGGTGGGAGGGAAGCAGGTACTTTGTGGGTATGTTGGTTTGGGAACCGTGTATGCATGGAAAATGTATTAATTTAAAACTATTGTAAATCCTAGTACCTCAATATGATTAAAATATTTTTCATATTATTATGACATATTATTATGATTTCATATTTTTATCTTATTATGACATCTTAGTATCTCATTCCTACTTTGGACAAACGGGCAGGCTACCGAATGTAACCTGCCCACACGGCAGAGTCTGGTAAACTCCCCGTGGCGTACCCAATATGCCAAATACCAGTAACAATGTTGGGTCTCATTCTCCTAACTCTGAAAGAGCCTTGAATATGGCACTTTTAAAAAAAAAATCTCAGGGCTAGGACGAAGGAGACGTTACTGGGGCCTGCTCGAGGCAATTGATGAATAACAGGATGGTCGTGATCGTGATTGTGGTTTTTCATAGAATCTGTATTTGGGGAGACACCCAGCAGTGTTGGGGCTGCTCCGGCTCTCTGCAGGGGCATTTGCCATTTACACTGAGCTTTCTCTGGCCCCAGTGCCCTGTGTACTTTATTTTTACTTATGGGCTACATCCCATGTGCTTAGCCCTAGTGGGGCTGGGGGCACCATATGCGGTAAGGGCAGGCTTGCCTTTCCCGTGTCCCTAGCTCTCCCGCCCCCGCCCCGAACACCTTAGAGGGGGGATGTGAGAGGAAGTGGATTCCTGGTAGATCTGTGGCTCCAGGCAGCTCTTACCCACAGGTCTCTCTGCCCCTTTGCAGGTGCCCAGGGGGGCTCAGTGGCCCGAGCGCTCCTGGAAGATGGGACGTTCAGGGTTCGAGCAGTAACCCGGAACCCTGAGCAGCGAGCAGCAAAGCAGCTAAGGCTCCTGGGTGCGGAGGTTGTGCAGGGAGACCAGGATGATGCGGCCAGCATGGAGCGGGTCCTGAGTGGCGCTCACGCCGCCTTCATCGTGACCAACTACTGGGAGAACTGCAGCCAGGAGCAGGAGGTGAAGCAGGTGAGGGCCGGTGGTGCGTGGCAGACACCTGCAGGCCTGTCCATGGAGCTCCCTCAGATGCTGATGCGGGCAGGAAGCTGCTGCTTTTTGTTTTGGGGTCACACACACATGGTTGGTGCTCAGGGCTGACTCCTGGTGAGTCATATGGGGACCAGAAGGGGTTCCGGGGATTGAACCTGGGTTGGCCACATGTCAGGCACGCACCCTACCTACTGTACTGTCTCTTGAGAACCACTGCTTTCTGAGATACTTTTCAGGCACTGCGCAGTTTACCCTTTAATTTTCATTTATTTGGGTTTGGGGCCAACCCAGCAGTGCTCAGCAATCACTCCCATCTCTGCACGGGACCTTGCAGTGGCTGGAATCCTCTCCTGCATGCAGAGCATGGCCTCCGCCCACTGGGCTGTCTCAGCCCCACAGCACCCCCGCTTCATAGCAGTGTGTTTCTGCAGGGTGTACCTATCAGTACTCGGGGCCACGGACACCTCTGCAGTGCTGAGGCTCAAACCCAGGATTCTCATGTGCAAGAGATGTTTTTTGGGGCTGAAGCATAGCACAGCGGGGAGGGTGTTTGCCTTGCACGAGACGACCCAGATTCAATTCCCAGCATCCCATATGGTCCCCTGAGCACCGCCAGGAGTAATTCCTGAGTGCATGAGCCAGGAGTAACGGTGTGACCCAAAAAAGTAAAAATAAAATGTTTTTTATCTTGGAGCGTCTCTCTGGCCCTGCACCCATACACCGTGATTCCCAACCATGTGGATCCTGAATCCCATGACCTTTCTTGATGGTTTTCCCCACATCTGTGGGGGGAAGGAACAGTTGGTGCCTGTGGGGGCTGCTTCTGTGGGAGACCCATTCTGTAAGATTGAGCCCTCCCAGAAGGGCCAGTGGTGTTGGAGCCTGGGCTTGGGGCGCTCAGCCTCCCTGCCCTTCAGGGGAAGCAGCTGGCTGATGTGGCAAAGCGCCTGGGCCTTCAGTACGTGGTCTACAGTGGCCTGGAGAACATCAAGAAGCTGACGGCCGGGAGGCTGACGGCCGGACACTTCGATGGCAAAGGGGAGGTGGAGGAGTACTTCTGGGACATCGGCGTCCCCATGACCAGTGTGCGGCTGCCCTGCTATTTTGAGAACCTCCTTTCCTACTTCCTGCCCCAGAAGGCCCCGGATGGGAAGAGCTACCTGCTGAGTGAGTAGCAACCCCTCCTAGAATGGACCACTCCTACCCCAGGGAGCTGTGGGAGATGCTGAAACTGGGCTTGTCATGGGATGCTTCCAGGCGCGGCCTGTGCCACCAGAGCCCCTGGGCCCATGCTTCCCATTTCTGGTGCTGCAGCCGGTTGGAGCTCTGGAGGCAAAGGTAGTCTGGAACTTCCCTCCACAGAGAAGCAGGCAAGAGGGAGGCCTGGAGCCTGGCCCCAGGGCACGTCACCCTGGCCAGCTTGTAGTGGGAGGCGCCCAGCCTTGGTCGTGCCCACTGACAGCAGAGTGGGCCTGGGGTGGGCACACGGGCACTGTCCCTTACACTCTTCAAGGCTGCGCCCATGTGCCCGCTGGGTCCAGCCTAAGAGGTGGTCTGGCACAGGCTCCCCAGCCCATCCAAACAGGAAGCTCCTGTGGCTGCCTCTTAGCTGGGAGCCACTTGCAGCCCTCACCCCACTCGCCCAAGGCCACTCAGTAAGGCCCTGGGGGTCTGTGCAGTCCCCTGGCGGGTGGTGTTCCCTCCTGGGATTCAGGAGTACCTGACCCACCACCCTGGCTCAGTGACACCTGCCAGGGCTTTCTGTCCCTTCCCGAGTTCCCATCTTGTCCCACTCTAAGAGTCACGCCACTAACGCTGCAGGTAGGACCACCAGATGCCCTGTGAGTGTGGCAATGAGACGGGCATGTGTGTGCTGGGACGTGGGCCAACATGTGTGCTCTGCCTGCCAGGCCTGCCCATGGGGAACGTGCCCATGGATGGCATGTCGGTGGCTGACCTGGGCCCCGTGGTGCTCAGCCTCCTGAAGCAGCCAGAAGGACACGTGGGCCAGGCCCTGGGGCTCAGCACCTGCAGACACACGGCGCATGAGTACGCTGCCCTCCTCTGCAAGCACACTGGCAAGGATGTGCGCGATGCCAAGGTGGGCCTGCCATCTGGCTTTTGGGGGGTTGGGTGGGGGTCTTGGGTTCGGACAGGGAGGTACTGCCACTGAATGTGGACGCATTGGACTGGGCCAAGCATGGCTCACGATGTCGCGGGAATGGGTTAGTGAACAGGGACTGCTCAGTAGGGGCTAGTGCAGCTGCTGTCCTAACACCCTCTTCTGCTTCCAGACAAGCCCCGAGGACTATGAGAAGCTTGGCTTCCCCGGTGCCCGGGACCTGGCCAACATGTTCCGCTTCTACACCCTGAAACCTGACCGCGACATTGAGCAGACCCTGAGGCTCAATCCCAAGGCCAGGACGCTGGAGCAGTGGCTGGAGCAGCACAAAGGGGACTTTGCTCGCCTCTGAGCTGTGGCCCACTCAGAGCTGGGCATCACAGAGTGTTACAGTTTTCATAAGAATAAAGGCCATTGTACCCACAGATGTCTTCTAAGAGGAAAGGGCTTGTCTGCAGCCTGAGCTGTGCTCCCGCTCTGAGCCGGGGCAGGAGATGTGTCAGGACCGCATCCTTCTGGTCACACCATGGCGGAGGGCAAAGGCAGCCCCCACCTGCAGTTGCTTGAGCTCTTTCAAAGACGAATGACCACATATTTTGGTTTCAAATATCTTTTTGCGGTAGATGATCTTATTTACATTGATACAGAATCATTTTACATACTTAAATCAGACGCTAAGAGATGCTTTATTTTACTAAATTCTGAGGGAAAACAGGAACCTTCTCTCCCTCCATCCTGTCTGAGCACAGGCAGAAGCCACTGGAGGGGCTGGGCACAGGGGCTAAGCGCTTCCTGCAGTTGGCTGGGACAGTGAGACTCTGGCTGGGGCCATTCAAACACTTCTGAGAACAGTGTCATGGTGTAAGTGGTGAGAGCCGAGCTGGGCACAGACCTGGGGGCAGGGAGGTTGCGGTGCCCACTCAGACTTGGTGCAGAACAGACCGGACCTTGAGGGGCCCCTGGAGAGGGATGGGAGGACTGGGGAGCAGTGGCGGGGGGCATTCCCCAGAAACCCACGCTCCAGCTGCTCACGCCTTTGGGACTGAAAGCTCCAAGCAGAGCGGAGACGCCTCTGCCAAGAGGTGGCGTACAGGCTGCAGGCTTTTGAGTCCAGCTGCCAGGAACCTCCTGGACCAATGTTTGCTGAGCGGGAAAATCAGTCACTGTCTAACTCAGTGCAGCCTCCGATTCCCGGCTACACAGCGCCTGGCCTTTAATTCTTTAGCTACAATCTCCCCAAATCCAATTCCAAGTTCGTCTCGGCTCCGCCCTGTGAAGTCCACTGTCTGTTTCCTCAGGAGCCAGCAGAGGCTGATCTACCTACCGCGGCAAGGAGACACTGACCAGCCCTGAGGCCACACGTGGCTACCCCGAGGGTCCACAAGAGCATTTGAGAGGTGTTTTGCTGTCCCGTGACTGCTGCTGACGAGGGTCCGTGGCGGGCCCGTCGCTGCCTTCTGGAATCCTCCATCTCTCTCTGGCACAGGAGGGGCCGCAGCTCCAGGCCTAGTTTCCAGTGGACCGTTTTCCTGAGCCGAGAGAACAGCTGTTAACACTTCACTGGTGTTGCAGGGAGATACACCCTGTGTGGGAGCCTGGCACCCCGGGAAAGCCGCCCACCTGCTGGGCTGCACAGCCTCAAGCCAACCCTGGCAGGACTAAGCTGAGAGGATCTGAGTTCTAGGCCTGGCTCTGCTCTCATGCACTCTCGGACCCGGGAGGCCAGACACCCTGCCTGAGACCGACACCTCTGCCACCTGGGGGGTGTGGGGTGTGGTTGGGGGTGTGGTGAGGGAGACCGGGTACTCAGAGGGAAGCAGGGAGAAGGAACCTCAAGCGTTTTCCTACCTCGGCTGGGATATCAGGAGGTAAACATTTTCTTAAGTTTGGAAAGGAAGCCCTCCTTGTCCTCCCCAGCCTCGGGCCTAGCCTTGCCTCCTGCGGAGCTATCCATGGTGCTGCCACCTGGGCACAAAACAGCAGAAAGAACTGGGGTCAAGGGTGCACACCTCCGCCTTTTCACCCCAGGCCCCTCCTACCCACGCCTGGTCACCCTGGGGCTGACCACTCAAGCAGCCGCCGAGCGTCATCCCAAGGAAAGAGTGGCCACTCCCAAGTTGGCCAGGGCCGCTAGTGCCTCCCAACTGCTCCTCTGGCCACGGGCCTGAGCAGGAACACAAACAGGTGGGTGTGACCTGGGCAGCAGCACAGTCCTGCCAGCTGCTTCCACCTTCACTCCTTCAGGCTCATGGGAACCTCACGCCAACACGGGAGACACAGGGCTAGCATGTGGGCGGGCGACCTGGCTCAAAGACCAACAAACAGCCCCCAATCCCAGGCCCTTTGTCACCACGCCATCGCGCCGGAGGCTGACAAACATGCCACGTGGTGTTTGTGCAAAAACTCCAGGCTGCCAGAGACACTCCCTGCCCTCAGAGCCCCAAAGAGTGCTGCAGGGGAAGCTCTCCCCTCCAGGGCAGCTGCCTCTAAGTGCTCCTGATAAAGGAAACCTCAGTCTCGGGGGGTGGGGTGGGGGGGGGAACGGACGACACAACGGACAGGTCGCCTGGGTCACCGTTTGCTGCCAGGCAGGGTCAGGGCTGTGTTGAGACACAATGGCCCCAAACAAGGCCATGCTGGTTGAGGCACGGTGACCCCAATTCTGAGGGCCCCAAAATCAGGAGCAGCCACTGCCACAGGGAGTCAGGCTGGTGCCTCTTCCAGGCCTTCCTGCTCCCTTTTTTTTAAAGGCTCAGGAACCAGGGGACTGGGCGATAGTGCAGTGGGGAGGGCGCTAGCCTTGCATGCCCCCCAACTCTGCTGTCCCTGTCCCCTGCTGGCCAGCTGCGGCCCTGGCTTTGGTGCTATCGGAGTCCGTTAGTCGAAATGTCATCAGAGCCAAAGCTGGTTAATGATTCACAGCAAATAAATAAAACCACCAGAAACTCTCCTCATCCCTCTCTTCCACCACAAATGTGACTTTATCTACGCAGACTTCGGGAATAAGGTTTGCTAAGGACATCAACAGCACTGAAATAAACATTTACAAAGAACAGTGCCAGGAAGCAACAGTGAGCTTCGGCACACACATGACCAAGAGGCTAAAAACCGACTTTCCAGGGGGAGAGCAGGGGATGGTCCTCACAGGCTGTCGTGGGCATGCAGGTGGCTGCTGACCTCACACAAAAGCAAACGCTTTTCAATGCAGGCAGGCAACCGCCTCCCATTATGGCAGCCAGGAGGAGCCCGAACTGGGTGCTCTGGGTCTGGACCTTTAGAAAGCGACTGGGGCGGGGCCGCCGGATGCCCCTCTCAAGTGACCCCCAAGCACTTTCTAGCCAACAGGAGTGAAAGGGGAATCATAGGCACTGGGCCGCAGATGGGGCTGGTGCTTGATGGAGGAGAAACTGAGGCCTCGCAGCAGGCCAAGGCCCTTGCCAGACGGCCCATGTTCTGTGCTGTGCAGTGAAACAGACAACCAGGGTGCTTAGGGGTCACACTATAGGGGTTCAGGGTCTGTTTGGGGTGATGGAAATTGAACCCGGGCAACGACGTGTGAGGCCAGCACCCAGCCCGTGTACCATCTCTTCAGCTCATCGATCAAAGCTGGAGAGAGGCTGGGGCAGGGCTCAGTGGGGTCCCATATTCTGCATGCAGGATGCCCTGGATCTGTGCCCATCAAACAGAGTAGAGATGGGCAGGGGGAAGTCAGATACAGCAGAGGCTTCCGACGGGCCCTGGCGAAGGGGGGAAGATGGACAAGGACCCGGGAAACATTGAGGCTTCTCAGGACACTCCTAAGGGAACCCGGTCATCAACTCTCCACTGAGCTGCCCGAGAGAGCTTTAAGTGACCACAGCACCCAACACCCAACGTGGAAGTCCAGCAGGCAGGCTGTCACCAGCATTCTACCTGCAACAGAAGGATGGAGCGGCGCAGGCTCAGGATTCAAGCCAGGGTCGCATAACTCAGAGACACGCGACAAACCACTTCCCTTCTGTTTCTCAAAGGATACAAGGACATAAGTCTATTAAAGGAAGCATCCAGCACTGCACTCCGGAATCGCCCACTCTGAGGGAAAGGCGTGTCACTCCTTTATTTGGGGGGCACTCACTTCTCTCTCGTCTTTCTCCTCTAATCCTTCCAAATAAAACTATTTTACTTCAGGAAAAAAAAAAAGTTCGGTCGGAGATAGTGCAAAGGTGAGAGCAGCTGCCAGGACCGAGGGGGCGGACATGGCAGAAGGGGACAGACACCCGTCCACCCCAGGACCGAGGGGACAAGACAGCAGGGGGGACAGACACCCACCCACTCCAGGACCCAGGGGGCGGACACGGCAGGAAGGAGAAGACACACCATCCACCCCAGGATCTAGGAGGCAGACACGGCAGGAGGGGGCAGATAGCAGGGGGGACAGACACCCATCCACCCCAGGAGCTAGGAGGCAGACACGGCAGGAGGGGGCAGACAGCAGGGGGACAGACACCCATCCACTCCAGGACCTAGGGAGCAGACACGGCAGGAGGGGACAGACACCTATCCACCCCAGGACCTAGGGGGTAGACACGGCGGGAGGGGACAGACGGTGGGAAGGGAACATGGCATCAGTGAAGCTGGCCACATTAACACTGGCCTCCTGGCGGCAGGAACCAGCGGGCAGGGGTGGTGCCTCTGGGTCAGGACTGCGGAGCCTCCTGATCCCTGTCTCCTCAAGCTGTTACCCGGGGCTCCGTGCAGGGTAGGGAACGTGCCCAAGGCCACAAGGCCAGTGGCAGAACCAAGGATAGAACTCAGAGAAGCAGCTCTCAGTATACACGGTTTTCAGGCCAGGAACATTCTAGAGCAGCTAGCACACCGAGAAGGAGGGTGTTTTCCCTGAGTACAGCAGCACCCCCTCCCCACCCTGAGGGCCCCCGGGGCCACCGTGCCACATTACCTGTGCTTGTGTTGGTGACGCCGTTCACTGTGCCCTCCACGTCCGTCTCATCCTCGGCGTAGCTCAGGATCAGGCTCTGCTGCCGGCTGGTCAGTCTCCTGGGGACCAAGCAGGGTTAGTGTCTGAGCACTGTCCCGGGCAGCTCTCGGAAGGACAGCAGGGAGCCCATTCCTCCAATCCCTGCAGCCATGGCAATTAAAGGGATCGCCGGGGACCTGCTGCTCTGGGCTGGAGGGGAGGGTGGAGGGGCCAGACCTAGTGGTGCTCCGGGACTATTCCCAGTTTCATGATCAGGATACTCCTGGCGGTGCCAGAGGGTCATACATGTTGGGGATAGAAATCGGGTTGGCCAGTGTCTTAATCCCTTGGGAAGAGCGCGTGTCTGTGTCTGGCTCCTTACCATGCTGACTCTGGCGCTGGCATCTG